GATAAGGCCGGTTACTTGGCGTTGGGACTCGGACCTCTGGAACATCGGGGCGGGCCGCCGGCACCTCACGCAGATGACCGGCCGGTGGGTCCTCCCTCCCTCCGGCCGTCCCGGAGGAAGACGTCAACAACAACGACAACAACAAGATTCCATCTATAGAGCGCCTTTCACGTCGGGAGGACGTCCCGAGGCGCTGCACAGTTGGGTCGTGACCCGAGCATTGGGGGGAAATGGTCGGGGGAGGGGAGGGAGGGAGCGAGGAGGGGGGAGATGGTCAGGGTGAGGGGAGGGAGGGGGCGAGGAGGGGGAGAGAGTCGAGAGCGGAGCTGAAGGCTGAAGGTCAAAGAGAAAGGCCTTGAGACCGGCCTTGAAGGAGGAAAGGGAGGAGGCGGCGAAGGCACTGGGGATGGAGTTCCAGAGCCTGGGGGCTGAGAGGCCGTGGAGAGCGGGCGACCGATTTTTGTTTGGCGGCGGTGGGTGGTGGGGGGAGCGGCGGTGGGTGGGGGGGGGGGATTGTTGGTCAAGACACCCGGGAGAATCTCCCTTCTGTTTTCGAATAGTGCCACGGGATCCTTAAGGTCCGCCTGAGCGGCCGGACCAGACCCCAGTTTAATGTCTCATCTGAAGGACGGCACCTCAGACAATCCAACACCACACCCCCCCACCACCCCACACACACACCCCCACCCCCACCCCCCACCCCCCCCCCGGCACTGCATTGGAGTGTCGGTTTTGACTTCGTGATTCCAACTCCCGATGTGGGGCTTTGAACCCCTCCACCTTCTGACTCGGAGGCGAGAGCCCTAGCACCGAGTCGGGCTGACACGTGAGGACTCGTCTTAACTTTTAGAGCCGACTTCCTTATGGAGACCTCCCTAAACTACAAGACCAATCAAAAGCGCAAGTCCCTGCGCACTGCCATAAGGAAATAATCCCAGCATTTGCCTATCATGTCAGTTTAAGCATTTTGATACAAACTGCCGAAAAGAGACACGAAGGGAATAAACCGATTACATTTGGGGGATTCTTGGCCAGTGACTACCTCTCCGTGGCCTGTCAATGAGCCAGGCTCGCTGGTCTGTCATCAGTAGTACCTCGGAGTACTGAGAACCACGACAGAGTGTTCATTTGATTCTGACAGTCGGTTGTCAAGCACGTCTGTCATCTCACAGCCAGCTCAGCTTCAAGGGAACCTGGTTACCTCTCTCCCTCCCCCAACCCAGGTTAGTCAATAATCAATTAGCATTGGGAGCACTGTAATAGGGAAACATTTAATATAATTATTCCTCAAACTTTGGTAGGGACATTTGTATGTGATGAGCATGATATCTGTTGCACTGGACATCTTGGGAAGATGAAGGAATGAGGGGGGGGGAAATGAAGGAACATCATTCAGATCGGGGCCTGGCGTCCCCTCTAACTACATAAATTCCATCCACGAACACTGGAATAAACATCGCCTTCTGAATTCTATGTGTTAGGAAGAAGATTTAAAGTACTTCGAATTAATTGGACTTCCATTTACACAGAGAGTAAAGGCAGCTATGTTAAATTCTATCAAGTACAACCACATGCGGCTTATTTCACAGCGAAGAACTTGGTATTTAGCAGAATGAATTTGTTTTATAACTCCAGTGTAATCTATGGTTTTCCCCCAGGTTATGTAGTTCTCGGACAGATTGTTAATGGACAGGCGGATTCTGATTTGGAGCCAAAAAAATAAAACGTTAATTGAAGGTGCACTTCGAAGTAATTGGCCTCACTTTTTTTTTATTACAGTGTCTTGAGGGTATTTCTGAAAGTGGTGTTTCGAGACTCTGAAGTGCCTCAGGAATGGAAAACATCAGCCGACCCTTTCTACAGCGCTTGAAGGAGTCCTGGAGGGATAAATTCCACTTGGGTCTATACATGTACTACAAGAACAACAACAACTTGCATTTATACAGCGCCTTACACGAGGGGTAGCGTCCAAGAGCGCTAAATATACTATTTAGGGAATGCAGATTTTGGCAAAACATTAAATTCAATCTTAATTGTATTGTCAAAAGTTAAACCACATAAAAATTGGTAACTGTGTTGCTTCAAAGACAAGTTAGTCTTTTTTAAAATATTCCCTCGATCTTTCCTAAAGTTGCTGGTTTCACATAAAATGCTTGTGACCAGAAAATTAGGTTGAGCTAAGAAAGAATCAACTAGGGGTTTCCTTTCCTTATTCATCATTGTTAGTATGTGTTTTGATTTGCGATACATGACCTCTGGGTTCAAAATACTTCAACCAGAATATAAAATATATTATAACAATAATTATAGCAGTGCAAGCTTCTACTTACAGCTGCCAAATTATTCTGTGCACTTAGATTTTCTCTGACTGTCAAATCTAAGTTGGTTTACCATAATTTATACAGTCATTTAGTTAAAGGATGACAGGTGTCAGCAATATAGGTGAAATGTCGAACATAAAGATCATTTATTACATAAGTGTAATGTCGTGACTCACGGCCCACATTTGGGGCATAAAGAAGTGGTTCCCCCAATATCTTGTTTCCAGTAGCTACCAATCCCTGATACCTGGTACGGCCTTAAATTGAGATAAATTCAATGAAGAAAAATATTTGGTTGGCCACCACTGCTGCATGTAAGTGTGGAAGTCAGGTGAAAGAATTGGGTTTGACTGTGATGTCTCTAATGGTTGAACACAAACAACAAATTACATTTGCATAGCGCCTTTCACATCAGGAGGACATCCCAAAGCGCTGTACAGTCAGGAATCCGCACCCAAGCTTTAACAACCAATTTGTTAATCCTAGTTCAGGATTGTTAATGAAGTCTCCCCATAGTTAATTCCTACTTCACAACAAATACTTCATTTATTTAAATTCATTTTTTTTGTACCGCAAGTAAATTTAGATATCACGTTTTAAGATGCCTGAAACATTGCGGAAAAATACTTTGTTTTTAGATTATCAATGTTCTTGTCCTTTTCTGTTTTCAGATCAATCAAACTTGTGTAATTGTGGGAGGGGGTATGTGCTTACAATTTAATAATTCTCCCTCTCCCCACACTCTTATTTTACTTTGACCTTTTGAGAAAAGCACTGTAATTATAAAAGGATTGACATCCAACTCATCCAACTCACTCACTGAATTGCATTCACAAGAGTTTCCTGACATTTGGTAAAGGACATGGAAAGATAAGACAATACAGTATTTTCAATACAAAATACTTTCTCACTACAATAATTGAAGGGTGTACTGTATCTTTCTAGTAGGAAATAATATCCTTTCAATTGAATAAGATAACTTAACCTCCAATTGTAGATCTATGAAGCTCAAATATGTACAGTACTTTAATAGTGCTCCTACATCTCTCTTGGACTGGATACAAGGAAAGGCTGTTGGCGTGATAGAAGCACCTTTCTCCTCATCTCCAAATATATTTTGCCCGTAAAATCTACAGTCAATTCACTTTTCAGTATATTCTGTGAAGCGCTTTGAGACGTCTCAAAAGCGTGATAAGGCGCCATATCAAATGCAAGGATTATTATTATTAGAAGAATTATTATCTCTTCGCTTCACAAAACGCATGGTTGTGCCCCAAATGGAAACAGTAAGGGCTGCTGATATTTAAAATTTTTAACAGAACATAGTGTTATTTAATACTCGCAGAATTGGCTTATTAACGAAAGAACTTTTCAACTAACCTGGTGCTGGTAAAGTTGCCACACAATGGCATTGTTCAGAGAAACAACATGGAACTCATTTTAAAGAGCTTTTCGTTCAATGTGATTGCACGCACTAACTCAAAACACAATATCAGCGGCACTGGTTAAAAAACATCTTGGAATAGCTGAGGGCATTGCCTTGACAACACTGTCAACTCAACATCACTCACAGCTCTTACAGGGTCATCTGGTACAGACTAACAAAAGGAGCTCCCAGCAAATACAACTTACTTCGTGTCAGATTTAATTCAACTCCTTTTAAAAATAAGATACTCTGTCCTAAAGCATAAAGCGGTATCAGTCACATTATTTAAATTATCCCCTCGTCCTTTGAAGTGGGTCTTCCTTCTCCATCTTTTTTGGGGGGGTTGGTGGTTGACAGGGGTGAAAAAAAATCAGTTCCGTGGATTCTCAGCAGTTCCGTGCACAGGCTAGGCTTGAATATATCAATAATAATAATAATCCTTGCATTTGATATAGCGCCTTATCACGCCAACACTCAAATATTTAACCCTGCAAGCCTGTTTGGTTTGGATACTCCTAAGAATGGTGCTGGATTTCCGCATGTGCCAGACAACTGGGTGTACCAAGAAATAATTTAAATAAAACATCGTGTAACTAAAATGCTCAAACAAACTGAAACATCACACTTATTTATTACAGTAAATTTCCGAGGGCCTGGAATGGATGGGATCAGTTGTCTCAATACCTTCTTGTACCTTGCTATCCGCTTGTTGAAGGAAGGAGATCTCATGTTTCCCTAATTGTTTTAAGGTACGACTGTGGTTTGGTAATTCCTTCCGCGGTGCGATTTACTGCTTATCATCTAACTCCTTCAATGGTCAGCCAGATGGGGAGGCTTTTCTTCAAAGGGGGACATTACAGGAAGATTTCCTCTTTAAAAGTTCTGAAACTGAACCTGTTTCCTTTGCAGTCCCTGTTCAGATACAAGATTTTATGGGGAAAAAAAAGGCGGAATAGAGCTGCACACACACAAAGACCATTTATTTTGCTCAATTGATGTTGAAATATCCCGGGACTACAGAGAAGCCTTTGTTTGTGTTGACATTGGAATTTGAGCGCTAACACAAGGAAATTAAACACATGGTTAATACCTTCTGTTCATGCGTTTGTATCCAGGATGAAATCTGGTGGGACAAAGGACCTTCTTCATCCAAATCAATCTTGTGAGAATCACCAAAGAAATTCCCAATCAACTTTGTAGTCGATCCAATTTCAGTAAGCAAATGGAAGCACCGCTGAATAAGACAATGAGTAGGTGTTTGACATGATTTATTTATTCTGAATGTTTCATTAAGGCTCTCTGCACGTAGCTGGTTGTCAAGCATACAAGAAACCCTCCAGAATCCATCTTCAAGAACCAAAGCCTCCTAATCGAGACATTTTACTTATTAAAACATATGTACATTTTTCATATCAGCCTCTTATAGCGTCCAGTGCAGTCGTTGCCAGTTGTGTGTACACCTGGTAATTGCAACGCCTTGATTTAAGGCTATAGTTTATTTTAAAAAATAATTTTGCCCATTGATTTCTATGGCCGATTGTTCAGGTACCTGTATAACAATCAGTAATTTTAATTTAAGGATTATATTACAATCTATACACACAATGCAGATTGCTGTCTTACATTCACGCTTTTACGGAGGCAAGTAAAGACACTGGTACTCACTGCAGGTACTGACTGCTATCCAGTGGGTTTCCACTGAGTGCATCTCACATTCTGAATAACATCAAATATTTTGCAAAATAAATTAGTTCGTCTACTTCTCCATACTTTACACTTAGGATCCTCTCAAATGTTCACCTGGAGAAGTGTGTATAATAAAGTAGTGTATCTTGTGTTGCGTTCTTACGCGCACTCATTGATAGGTCATGTAAACTGAACCAAACTAACACTGAGTCAAAGAAAGTTTTCGGTAGGATATGTGACAGAGCATCTGACAAGGATACATGGCAGGGCATTGAGCAAAGATATACAGCTGACGTCTTGGTAACATTGACTGTTTTGAAGGAATCCAAGCTCTTCCCTCCAGGTGTAGAAGCACCAACTAATCACTTGGGGATTATTTTGGAGAGCTGCAGTTTCTAAACCCTGGGCACCAATTTGAAATGCGAGCACCTCACAATCCACCGCCACAACGGCACCTCTCTCTGTTCCACCGCAGAAAAACATTGGCAAACAAAGAGACAAAATGATTCATCTCACGGTCTTGGGGGTTGGGGTGGTAGGGAAGGAGGAAAGACCCACTTTGGATGCCATCTGTAGGCAGTGATACATTTAACAGTAATTTCCCTGCAGTGGAATGGGGTACTGAAGTGTAGGTGGCATCTTGGCACTACTTGTTCGTTGAAAGGCAAAAACTAAGCCCAAAACATTTCCTTTTCACCCAGATGACGTGTCCTGGAGGGGCAGTTTGTTTCTGCAGGGTGCTCTTGCGTGGCAATGCACGTCAATAGAATTTGTAAGACATAATTGCTTTTATTCCATGGCTCTCCTGAAGGTGGGATGTGTAGATAGGAGTAGGGAAAGCTGAACGGGAATTTGGGAGAATCCCACTCACTGTTATAGAATGCTGGCTTCAAGCATGGCTTCAATCCACCTGCGACAAAAGCATTAGGAATATGATTATACTGTAGTCATTAAAGCTAATACACACCTTACTTGTATAGGAGAAAATGTGCACCCAAATTGTACTGCATTGAGCAAATGCTTTTCCATTCATTACCGAAAGGCTATTTCGTGTTATATATCTGGGAGGACGTCAAACCGGGGTCTTCCTAGTCTGTGGTCAGTAACATACCGAGTGCTCCAAGACGCCATCTGGCGTGAAGAGTGCTATATAAATGCAAGTTGTTTGTAACATAATCACAATATGATTTATCACTGAGGCAGATTTGTGGCCTCAGAATGAAACTGCCATTTCCGGGCAGCTTTGTTCCTCGTGTTCAATGGCAACGGGGTTGAGATGCATTTCTGTGGATCCTCTAAAGTAGCAGAGAGGAGGTGACCATCATCTTATTACCCATGGCTGGAGTGGACTCCCAGATCCTATTAGTTGAAAGGACAGCGTCCAACATCTCACAGTAACTAGAAGAACAAATTACATTTACATGGCGTCTTTCACGTCAGGAGGACGTCCCAAGGCGCTGGACAGTCAGGGATCTGCACCTGAGCTGGGAGTTGGGTGTCACTTTGGTCACGGGAACCCAGAAGAGTCTCAAACGCAGTGTGCGAAAGTGGTTCTAAGGAGCGACTCGACTTTCTGTGCCCAAATCCAGCATCAGATTGGGACCCACGAACATAACTAGTGATCACTGCTGGGCACTGACACCTACCTCTGTGCTGAGTTTGTGTCTTCAGCTTTAAAGGAGTAGAAGAGGGTTTTCTTGTGGTAGAGCTGGAACACGGAGCCAGTTTCTGTTTGTCCTTCCCCTTTATCTGGTCTCTGGATGGTGAAGCCCAACAAAGGCAAACTCTCTGATGCAACTTTGTCCTGATATGCAACACACAAGCATTAAATACTTGGTGGGATTATTTTGAACTTGTTTTCTCGAACTCCCTTGATGGCTCAGTTAGTGAAACTAAGCCATATAGGTCAGTGAAAGTCCCAAATGAAAGTCCCAAACGGGTTATCAAAAACCTCCAGATAAATTTATAAACAAAACAAGTAATTTTTACTCCCAGAACATACCGGAACACCAGTAAATATGTTATTAACATGTGCGACATGTGTAAAGCATCATTTATTCTTTTGAAATGTTCACAGGAACATAGGAACAGGATAATACTGATAATCCTTAGATTTGATACGGCCCCTTTCACATGTGCTGCCACACACACATTCTGATTATGAACAGAGTAGCAAATGGTCTGATTTTTCCCCTCCATGGGGTAATGAGGCCGAATGCAACGCAGGCCTTTGCTGCTCCAACTAGGATTAATTTAACACAGCAAAGACCAGACCAGGGATGGAACCTAAAACCTTCCTAATCTGTAAGGCTCAGTTATCGCATCAAAGGAATCGTGCGCTTTCATGAATTATTTCTCTCGTTTGGGAAGAAAGAGCAACCAAGACACCAGTGTGCCTTTCCCTACATGATAACATTCAGATAACTTCAGTTGTCAGCAGAGGCTAGAGGAGCGAGGATTATTCTCCTTGGAGCAGAAAAGGTTAAGAGGAGACTTAATAGAAGTTTTCAAAATGATGAGGGGGTTCGATAGGGTGAACAAGGAGAAGCTATTTCCACTGGTGGGTGGGTTGGTAACCTGAGGACACCGATTTAATAGAGTTTTTAAAAGAAACAGGAGAGGAGAAATTTTTTCACGCAGCGAGTTGTTGGGATCTGGAATGCGTTGCCTGAAAGGCTGGAGGAAACCGATTCGATAACAACAAGATAACAACTTTTAAGAGAGAAGTAGATAATTATTTGGGGAGGACAAGTTTGCAGGGCTATAGGGAGAGCGCGGGGGAGTGGGATTGATTTGGATAGCTCTTTTCAAAGAGCCGGCACAGACACGATGGGCCGAATGGCCTCCTGTGCTGTATAATTCTGTGATTCTATGATTATGTGCACATTGTGTGCTTCAGTGTGTTTTATCAGACTGATGGTTTGTAAATAAGTTAAAACAGTTTTACCTGAACATGCCACTCATTTAAGTACTCAAAATCGGGGTCGGGAGGGTTGTTAGGGAGGGTTGTTAGGGTGATGGGCTGAAATGAACAAAGAGTTCAAGAGTATGATCATCTTTCTTACCCCACTGGCCGCGTATGTGTACAGAACTTTGTCTTTAATGACAAACCACAATTTCTTCCAGTGTCTTTTGTGGCTCTTGCACCTCTGGAGGTAACCATTCATTGAGGAGCCTTCTGCTGCAGCTGCCACCTTGGGCGTGGGAACAAACACCCAGTGTTAAGAAACAAATCAATGTGGCCGAAGAAATAGTTCAGGGCAACCTAGCATGTGCCCATGATTCTCCCGCATTGAGAAATGCTATAGGAATAATAATAATAAATAATAATCCTTGCATTTGTTATGGCGCCTTATCACGTCTTCGAAACGTCCCAAAGCGCTTCGTAAAATGTACAATAAAATGAATTGACTGTATATTTTGTGATCGAAACCCGGCAGCCAATTGCGCCCAGCAGTGTCCCACATTATTATTTTTTAAACGGTTTAATGTTTTTGAAGGGATTATTAACCTAATAATAATAACAATCTTTACACTTAATACAGTGCCTTATCACGTCGTTGAGGCTTCTCAAAGCGCTTTGAGATGTCTCGAAGACGCGATGAGGCACTATATCAAACGCAAGTTATTATTATTATTCCAGGTGGCCTGAGAATGTGCCAAGGAGAGATATTGACCCGCGACTGTCTGAACCGCCATCGGATCAAAGCACGGTCAATCATTTCTCAAAATAATAAAAGCTTAGAAAGCCAAATGGAAAGGCGCAGAACAATAAATAGCATTGCAAAACTTTGCACCGATGCCCGGGGTAGAGCGTGGCCGATTCCGAGCAGATTCGCATGCTGTTCCAGGAACCGAGGTGACCTAGAACCCCACCATCGCACTGATGTTGCCTCTTTAAATGGGAATGGAATTGGCGTCGAATACCACTTGAGCAGCAAATACTGTATTGATGAACCCGTTTGAACCTCTGGAATGCCGCCCTCTCGGGGCAACAAGCAGCTACTACTGCACAAGTAAACCTTCACTGAAGATCCCCTGACCCTTCATGTAAGATTTACAAACCTGTCGACTTCTGTCTGGTGCTACAAAGAGCAACGCACTAAAGTAAGTTAAAAAAAACACACGCGTGATAGTTCACCTTTCTGCAGTTATCTCACGGCCGCCTTAAAAGCAGAACCAAGACAAAACTGAGCTGAAGAAACATTTATTCACACAGAGTCTGCCCCCGGAATATTGTTGAGGCAGGATCCATAGAACTGTTTCAATACGAGACGAACACATACTTGGGCGTATTCAAATGTATGGTGATGAACTTATATATCCACCGCGTTTCGCCCACAAAAATGCAAGGGTTATTATTATTATTATATACAGTCAATTCACTTTACAGTATATTCTGTGAAGCGCTTTGAGGACGTCTCGAAGACGTGATAAGGCGTTATATCAAATGCAAGGATTATTATTATTATTACGCACACATCATAGGACTCTTGTCTCTGAGGCAGAAGGTTGTGGGTTCAAATCCCCTGGCACTATCCGAAAAGGAGAAGTCCCTCCCGGTGTTCTGGGCACCAATTCCAATAAAATTAGTCGTTAACTTAATTTTTTTTTGGTGGGACTTTGCTGTGCGCAAATTAGGCCACTGTGTTCACCCACAAAAACACAGGCAATAGACTGAACAGTGTATCCTGTTGATTGCTTTGGCATGACCTCCCGACGTGAAAGGCACAACACCAAATGCAAGGATTACTATTATTATTATTATATTATATTATGTGGTATGGAACGACTATAGGAATAGCAATTATTCATAATAAGTTAAATCATAGCAAAAGGTTAGATCGAGCTCTGCGTTTGCCTCTATCTCTACCCACTGAAGTCCAGCAATGTCTAAGAGTATTGGCTGAGTTCTCCTACCTCCATCAGAGCTGCAGATATCCTCTTCTGTTTCCTGATAGAAGAAGGTTGGATGCTGTGAAACACTGAGGACAAGGCACTGCCTGGTGATCGGGCAAACACTGGCAGGGAATTCTCATTGTTTGTTGTCAACTCTGCGTTCAAAACAACAGGGGAGAGGGGGGGGAAAAGTAAGTAGAGAGTGGATGGTTTAAATCAATAGTGGAAATTATGCGGTAGAAAGGGAATCCCACTAATAGGACTCTAATTTAAGAAAGATACTCCCATCAGGAGCCCATTTACAAGACTGTCCGGGAACTGTTGTTTCTACAGGGGGACCGAAAAGTCGTGACAACAACAACAACACGATTTGTGAAGCACTTTTCACGTCAGAAGGACGTCCCAAGGAATAATGCCATTTATTTCAAAATAATTACTAATAATTATCATCATCATTTCTTTACAACAACAACAAGATTACGTTCGTATAGCGCCTTTCGCGTCGGGAGGAGCGAGACCGTGGAGGGCTTTGAAGGTGAGGACCAGGATCTTGAACTGTATCCTCCGTGTGATGGGAAGTCAGTGGAGTCGGGCGAGGGTGGGTGCGATAGGGTCGCAGAGCCTGGTGCGGGAGAGGACACGGGCTGCAGATTTCTGGATGATCTGCAGCCTGTGGAGGGAGTAGTTGGGGAGGCCGACTAGCAGTGATTTTGCGTAGTCGAGCCTCGACACGTATGAGGGTTTCAGCGGCCTGTAATGGGGTCATGTCTTTTTGGTCACCCGTGTTCAAGGGTAGAATGGTTCTCTACGATGGCTCCTGTGTATGTGTGTACACATTTTACCTTTTGTCTTGAACTCTTTGTAGCATTGGTCACATACTCTTGAGGGTCGACCTTTGAGGTATTTGAGTGGATACTTGTTCCTTGAGCAAGTCCGACACACAACCTGCGTGTACAAAGCACAACGTACAAATAAGTGGGCGAAACGTGGCAGCCAATTGCGCGCAGCAGTGTCCCGTAAACAGTCGTGGATTGAGTCTCCAAATTGTTATTATTATTATTATTATTTTTCTTACAGGTCCTTCATTTTCAGCACAGGGCCGACGGAATTCCCCCGTCCCTGACAAACTCGGGATGGTTTCGTGGCGAAGGATTAAGAAAGGGCGAGCAGACGAAAAAACCAGCAACAACGACAAGTTGCACTTGTCTAGTGCCCTGCACGTAAGCAAGAGGTCCCACAAAACGATAGGAACTCACTTACTTTCCCGCAGGCATTACAGTGATGCCGTCTCCACGTGAGCGAAAAGTCACACGTGCAAATCATACACATCACGACACGGGAATCTGGAATCAAGGTGGGCGGCTTAACACCCAGACCTGTCTCTGGCCTCTCAGAGATGACCTGCAACAAGAAGAATTGATCAGGAACGAGAGGGTTTATCACGACAATAATAATCCTGGCATTCGATGCAGCGCCTCATCGCGTCCTCGAGACGTCTCAAAGCGCTTCACAGGATACACTTTGAAGTGAATTGACTGTGTATTTTGTGGGGCAAAATAGCATTGACACAAAAATGGGTAAAGTGGTGGCAATTGGCAGAAGATCTTACCTGGAAATGATGATCTGTACGGCTGAGCTGTTGGTAGAAAATACAAGTATGAGTTGTGAATGAGTCTCTGTCTCAAATAGTAATAATAATCATAATAATTTGGTCACTCGATCTAAAGCTGGATTCCTAAGCCGAAAGACAGTACTAACATACTGTTCACCCATTTATTCCACTTTGACTGACTGAAAACTGGACACAGCAACAGAAATGGACCTCTAGTTTCAAGGCCCAAGTGCGAGTTGTTAAAGTGCATAATTAAACACAGATGTTTAGACATGTGATGTTACAAAGAAACTACGATATCTACCGAATGTCCTGCTATCACCCCGAGGGAGAGATTAGATGAACAAATCTTGGTCTCGACATTAAAATGAGCAAATCAAGAGACTATTTGCAAAGTGTAAGTGAATCATGTTAAGAAAGCTTCTGCATCACTAACCTCTGTGGTGGTTCTCGAGTTCAGCACGCCCCATACCTTCCTGTAATCTTCCAAGGCTTTGCTGATCGCGTCAAACCATTCATCTCGTTCTTTCGAAGAGCTACAGGAGGACGAAGGAACAGGAAATAGAACTTATGGGTTGAACTTAAACGTTACCGTACCAGGTAATAATGACCATTTTATGGTGTCATCTGCCCTTTGGAAACCAAAACCCTACTTGCCGCATGTTTTGAGGTCTTCCCTGATCTGATTGTCCAGTCTCTCTGATCTGATCCTACAGCCCTCCCCCTTTGACCAGAATTCCCAGACATTCTCTAACCAACCCTCCAAGCGGGTTAAAAAAAATGCAAGTCCGATTTGTTTGGCAGTGCTGGGCAAGCTCTGTATTGTCAGAGGTACCATTGAGTTGTTAGACTAAGATCCTATCGGCCTGTTCAGGTGAACATTAAGATAGTAATATATAATAATAATCCTTGCATTTGATACAGCGCCTTATCACATCATTGAGACATCTTAAAAGCACTTCACAGAATATACTATATAGTGAATTGACTGTGTATTTTGGGGTCTCATAGCGCTACTCGAAAGAAGAAGGGAGTTTCTCCCAGTGTCCTGGTCAACAGTCCCCCCAGATAAAATTGGTCATGCGATACATGGTTGTTTGTGGGCTACTGCTTATGCGCAAAGTGGGTTTGCAGTAAATCCGGTTAGGCGCCTTGAGGTGTTTCAGCGACAAGATAAGGCACTATAACAAGTCCAAGGATTATAGGATTATTGCAGGATTTATCTTCAAAATTGAATTGGTTTCTTGTCCGATGGTTCCACTGATAAAGCCACTGTTCTGTATGGTGTTGACCTACAGACCAGGCGGGTAGGAGCTAGAGGGGGAATTAAGGAACTTGTGGAACTATAGTCCACCTTTGGTCACCATAAAAAAAGGACGGAATATTGGGGAGGGAATTAACGCAAAAATTGGAATGCGTCCTTTTCTTTAAGGTATCGCCGTTTAAATCTGACCTTGTGTGTTAATTCCGAGCAACAAAAAAAAAACTCTGCACAGATTCCTATCTGTAGCGCACCTGGTAAAGTGGCTTAGTTTACAGAAATTGTGAACCTGTTCATCACTTGGAGAAGTCACTTGATTCAGGTTCAGGGACGTGCTGTTTGAAGTACCTGGATCATTGGCTGCCCTCACCTATCAGCTGGTCTGACATCTGTTGTGCCATACTGTTGTGGTAATCACTGGGGGTTGGTGTGTGTGTGGGGGGGGGAGTAATAGCGCTGCACGTTATACCCTCGTAAAATGCCACATAAAGCTCAATGAATTGAATAATAAAGCACAGACGCAAAACGTACAGAAGACGAAAAATAATGACAATTTGGGAGCCTAAAAGGACAGTGAAACATCCTTTGCACAATTTAATCTGACATCTCCAGACAAGCTTTCAGTGACAGGATTGAGAATGGGATCATTAGTTGTGCCTTATTAGTTTATCAAAGCCCCTTAGTTTCCCAGTGACCTTTTTCGGGGACACTCGCTCTGTGAGCAGTGATTGTGTTTCTTTATTTGAAAGATAAATGTCTTGCAGCCCGACTGCTGCCCTTTTCGCCCCCGTCTTTGGATAGATACAAATGAATTGCTATTAATTTGAGTTTTCCTATCTAATGGACTGCCACTTATTCTCCTGATCTGTTACAATCATAGCGCTGATGTGAAAAGCAAAACAAGATAAATACGATTAGAAGAGCGACTGCGATAGGAGAAGATTGGAATTGAGGTACAGATCAGCCATGATCTAGTAGAATGGCGGAACTGGCTCGAGGGGCTGAATGGCCTCCTCCTGTTCCTATGTTCCTAGATACCTTGCTTTCTTCCCTGCGAGCCTACCAGGTTACATGGAACAGAAACAGAATTGTTGCAAATCTACAGCAGGTGAACACTGCTTCGCTCTTTGTGTATGTGTGGGGTAAGGGGCGGTCGTTGTTAATGAAAATAATAAAGTAGTTGCTCACAAAAACAATGCTAATAGTGCGGTCACTCCATCCACGGCTGTTTGTGGCGACGCGGCTGTGCGCAATTGGCTGCCGCGTTTCGCCCACAAAATATACAGTACACTGCACTTTACAGTATATCCTGTGAAGCGCTTTGAGACGTCTCGAAGACGTGATAAGGCGCCCTTATCAAATGCGAGGATTATTATTATTGTAATAAATTGGGCAGTTCCAGCCAGCGGACGATAAGAATGAAAATGTATTTATTATTTTTCTCCCCTAAAGCCATTCATGTTGGGTTCTGATTCCTTTTGCATTGGCAGCATTTAGTGACTCATTCCGATGCTTTGTGCATATGTGAGCCCAAACAGCTTAGGGCAATCAAACAATGTTTAATATAAGCTTGTCGCTCATCAAAGTGAGGGATGTGTGTTAGAAAGAGTTAGAAATAGAATGTTTTCTACTTCTTAACTGTCAGTATCCAGTTCAGGCGCAGAGCAAAGCATCTTCTATTCTGTCCTTAACCCCAAAGTCAACAGAAGAGCTTTTTCTACTGCACCTGAGTGCCATTTCCCAATGAGCCGTGCTGTGCTCCTCCTGAATAAGATGGGCAACGACATGCCAAATTAGTACAAACTATGAACAGAATGTGAGTGAAGACTGTCCCAAACTCATTCATTTTGGACCCTCAGAGACAACAGCCAGAGGGAAGGTCTTATTACCAGAGTCAGAGCTCGATTCCAAGCCAAAGGTGAAAGCAAAGCACGTGTCAACTAGTCTTTAATCAGAGATTCGTATCCAGGTCAATACATGGCATAAACTCAACATTATTATTAATATACATTTGTGATACATCCACTTATCTATGTAACATCACTCTGTGTGCATGACAAATTACTGAACACAGTATTACATTGTACACGGAATAGTGTGTGAAGGATTCGGGATCTTTACTATCGTGTGTATTGTGCAGCTCAGGTGGTATGAGCTCCTACTTTGTATGTGAGTAGCGTCTGTTAAATTGAAGCATTTTCTTCCTATTCCACTCCCACCCTCCACTCCGTGTACTTGTTCCTGTCGAGTGAACGCTTTAAGTTGCAAGTCTCTGCTGGGGCAGCACATCTGCCGCTGATGGCATTTATATCTTTGATTACACAGACGCACAATACATCGTCTATGTCCTACAAAGATGCTGCAGTAAGCACTTTCTTTACCCTTAAACCGGGAGCTCAGCAATCCTGGTGATGTAGGACAACACACAGCGATCACGAGATATATACACACGCATATATTACTGGATGGTTTGGAGTGTACAGATGTGTAAACACATTAGAGGATGGCTAGGAGTGTAAATAATAAATAACTGTAATATCAAGTATCAACCTGAGTCAGCCTTTCTCTCTTTCTCTCTCTTTCTCTACCACTCTGCCTTTCTCTTTCTCCCTCACTCTCTCCGAGCCTCTTAACTTTCTGGTTCTCTTTCGCTAACTCTCTACCCCTGACCCTAAGCTGTGCGCTGTGAAGGCAGAACGACTTACCTTTGTGCACATTCTGCTGGTGTGAATGGCTTAAGTCGTGCACATTTGTGCGAAGTTGCTAACTCTCACAAACCTCACATAGGCAGACAATATGTTTTGCCTCTGCCTCACAGCCCCATGTCCATTTCTGTCAAGGAGTCCTAGGTGCCTTGGGATGTCCTCCCTTTCACGTCGGGAGGACATCCCAAGGCGCTGGACAGTCAGTGTTTCAGACCCGAGCTGGGGTTCGGGATTGGAGAGGGTGGGGGGAAGGAGGGTGATCGAAGGTACAGTTGAAGAGGAGGGTCTTGAGACAGGTCTTGAAGGAGGCGAGGGAGGGAGCAAGGTGGAGGGACTGCGGGATGGAGCTCCAGAGGGTGAGGGCAGAGTGGCTGAAGGCCCGCCCGCGAATAGTCAGGCGTCAGCAGAAATAGCAACAGACCGGACAGATCTCCCACAGTGTCAAAGAGAGGAACAGAAAAAGGACTGTACCTTACAGAGAACGTGAGAGAACGTTGTGTGGACTGGATTCTCAGTGGATGCTGGAGTTCCTCCAGAGGGGTTTGCTGACCTGTCGATAGACAACAAGGAAGATCGATTTGAAACCAGTGTCCACTGGCAGAGGTCCTTTTTCAGGCCAGTCACAGATAGCAACATCAACTTGCATTTTACATAGCGCTACCTAACCCAGGGTAGCGTCTCAGAGCGCTTGACAGTGGCGGAGCACGACTAGAAGATTGCAGATCCAATGGGCTGATCTCTAAAGCACCCCTTTTTTGTTGCATTGACGCGAATTCTCTTCCGGTGTCGCATTGGAATCCGATTTTAGATTTTGCACAAAAGACAGGAGTTGTTCTCGAGGAATTGAATCTGGCTTTAATGTCCCTATAAACGGTAACGTAATGGTGAAGAGAGGCTTGTTAGTACGTTTGCTTTGAAATGCCATCTTCTAACAGCCCGACTCTGTACCTACATCATTTTGGGTGGATAGTTTGTGGGGGAATAAGCCTTGAAACCGAATGGCAGTGTGAATGAGTGCCTTCAGGAGCGAAGGGGGTAACAGTCCCTCCGAAGCAAATACTAATTTGGTCGCTCAATCCGTGCCTGTGCGCGTGGGGGACGCTGCCGGGCGCAATTGGCCGCCGCGCTTCGCCCCACAAAACACACAGTCACTCCGCCTTCCGTCGTGTCCCGCGAAGCGCTTTGTGACATCTCAAATGCAAGGATTATTGTCGTTCAAGGGGTTTGGAGGGAAATAAATAATTCTGTGAACTAAGAGCGGTCAAGGTTGACAGTGTTATTATTATTAATTATTATTATTATTATTATTATTTGTTGTCCAAAAAAATCTATGGATTGAGCGGCAACACCTCAATCTAACCATCAGGTGGAGCTAACGGCACATCACAGTCGACCACAATTCAAGCCTTCGGTCGAAATAGATCAATACGAATTGATCGCAAAACACACACAGTTACTCCGCCTTACGACGTATCCTGCGAAGCGCTTCGTGACGCCTCAAACGAGGTGATAAAGCCCTGCGTCAAATGCAAGGATGATCATCACTGAAGTCGAAGGATCAGAATTTAGATGCCTGACCCGGAAGAATTTTTTTATTTGCCTCTTGATTTCCCTCCTGGGTTCAAATTTATCCCCACAATTACCTTCACTGCCTCGCCCACGGCACTGTCAAACTGCTATTAACACCATCCTCGCCCGGCTTCACTGGCTCCCCACCCCCTGACGACGACTTGTGTTCATATTGCACCCTCCGTGCCTGGCAGCGTCCTGGGGCGCTTTGACCCTAAACCCTAACAACCCACCTGCTACCTCCGCTCAGCAGCCTGTTTCATGTCCCACACTCTCCCCGCCCCACACCGTTGGGAGTCAAACCTCAGCCTTTCTGCCCCCACTCTCTGGAACTCCTGCAGTCCCTCTGCCTCGCCCCCTTCTCTCTCCTCCTTCAACGTCCATCTCAAGATCTTTCTCATTGACCGTGCCTTCGATCATCTTCCCCCCCCCCCGACCCCACCCTCCGAATCCAACCCCTAGCTCGGCTATAAACCCTCAACTGTCCCAGTGCCTTGAGATGTCCTCCCGATGTGAAAAACGCTGTCTAAATGCAATTTGTGGTGTCTGTAGATGGTGATGGAGGTGCTGGAGTATTAGACATAATGTTCATGTTGTACCTCAGTGCGGGTGAAGTTGCTGGGGACACTGGATTGATACAGAGAGACAGGGTGAGTGATGGAGTTGGCAGCAATCTAAATGAAGTTTCAGTACTCCGCTGAATTGGAACAGAAGGATGTTGGGATCACCCTTAATGAATGAACAGGGTCGTTGGCTGCTTGAGTCGTGGATCGAAGCATAAAATCCAGGGACAGGGAGAGACTGAGAGACAGCGTTAAGTATATCAATGTCTGCTTGGGTAGCAATTCAGATTAGGCTGTGCTTCACTTGCCCACACTTGCTGTAAGCGTTCTTCCCCGACGGAGGAGTTTTCTCCGTAAGTTAAACAGTTACCACAATTCTTGTCCGCAGCTGGTTGTGCGAAATTTGCATTCGTTGCCAACGCTGCATCGGTTACGATCCAGGGCAGAGAGAGAGAGAGAGAGAGAGAGACTCGACTCCTGATCTCATTTCTGTCCTGTCATAAGTCAGCGCAGCCGTCAAAAATGGATTTAGCCGCCTTCAGCATTATGTTTGTGTTGTCTGCTGATTAGTTCATGTGTGTCCACTTATAGATTTTTCCATTCAGCTCCACTGCAGATTGATTGCGTCCTTTACGCATTGTTAACTGGTTCATCACGACCGACTTTAATCGGCTTGACTGCATTCTACCTCTTCGCATCGATTTGGTTTAAATTGTCATCTTATTAAAGATAATAATAATAATAATAATAATAATCCTTGCATTTGATACAGCGCCTTAGCACGTGTTCGAGACGTCTCAAAGGCGCTTCACGGGATATATTGTCAAGCGTGTATTTTGCGGCAGCCAACTGTGCACAGCGGCGTCCCACAAACAACAACAACAACAAGCTACACTTGTAAAGCGCCTTTACACGTCGCGAGGACGTCCCAAGGCTCCGAAATAAACCAACAGTCGTGGATTAAGTGACCCAATTAGATATATTTTTTTTCACACATGCATACGGTCTGTGTGCACTTCTAGCGACAGAAACCTCAGCCGGACATTGTGCGAGCGTGAGGACAGTCACCAACCCCAATCGAACAGTCTCCTCGAGACTTAATTGCCAGCTTCACCAATGAAGTGTGGTTACTCTGCAGTTTTGGGGAGTGGTCAGACAGCCACGTTCTTTTTACCTTCATCCCAGCCAGCGACAGGGTCCTGTTGAGTTTGTATCTCCCGTTGTGAGGTGTGGTGTAAAGCAAGACATCATTCATCTGAAATAGCGAAGCCACATATTAAACAGTACTGTCCAAGCGAAGGCACATAACAGTTACTCCTTATCACAAACATATTACAGGCACTACATCATACCCACATTACAAGGGCACTCAACCGTAAACACATTACAGGTATTAATAATAATAATCACTGAGCTTGATACAGTGCTTGATCACATCTTCGAAACATCTCAAAGCCCTTCACAGAATGTACTGTAAAGTATAGTGACTGTATATTTTGTTGGGCTTTATACACATTACAGGTCTTCTTAACTATAGACATACTGTATAACAGGTAACTCTATATTCCTAGCCACAGATGTATTACAGATTACTCCCGCGCTACCTCTTTATCTGCCTTAAAATACCTTCAAATACCTCCCAGAAGCATTCCTCTTTGATAGTGCCTTTAAATCTATCTTTTGTATCTCTTATTTCCCCGCTCAGTGTCCCATCAGTACGACCGTCAAAAATCTCTGAATATTTATTTTGAAGTGGAAAGCGCAACCTAAACGGAAGTTGTTTTCTCGATTTGGTTTTACTTTTATTCGTCCCACTCGATAAATTTATTTTACAACGTATGTATTGCTTCGGCAGTGAATACATGATTTTCAACCGCTCTTCAAATTTGTTTTGCTTTCGCTGGAATACGGTGGAGTTTACTGGGTAGCAATATCGAGGCGGCAATGTGACAAATAGCTTGTCAGCCTTCCTTACTCAGTCCGCTTACTGCTTCATATATTAAACACAAGACGATCATTAATCCCGCCTCATCTGTGACACCTCAACCGCAGTGATCTCATTAACATCGCAAGAAAACCAAATCATAAATAGCCTCTCTGAGAGACGCATTAATCACGGCCCATTTTACATTGGATGAACTACTCTGTCTGGAGAATCGTCTCTTGACGCCCACCGCTTTCCAAGCCGACACGTTGTATAAATTTGTGTTTGTTTTACAAGTTGTTTCATACAGTATTTTGGGGGGAACGGTGGGAACCCGGTTGTTGGTCGACTTTACAGTATATTCCTGTGAAGCGCTTTGAGATGCCTCAACGACGTGATAAGGCGCTGTATCAAATGCCAGGATTACTATTATTATTATTATTATTATAATGTAACATCAAAAGGGGGAACAAAGCTTTGAGCAAAATACTGGTGTCACGCTTTTGGGAGAAGCGTGCCTGTTTTATCAAACACATTGGTGTAGAATGATACTGGCAGCTTTCTGCAGACAGACGGACAGACAAACAGGACAGAAGCGACAGACAGCAGATTAACGCCGAGTGTTTCAGTCATTTTTTGATCAGCATAGATCAAAAGGTTCTCGCGACGTTGTATGATTTAATTAGCGGGAGATGCAAATTGCATTCTTATCCACTTTACGTCAAGGCTGTCGAGACACCGTGTCTAGATAGGATGCAGTGCAGGCTTGTATTTTAATAACAACTGATAAAAACTCCGGAGATTTGATTTCTGTGGCGTGGGATAGATATACACGGCATTCGGTCTCCTGTGCACATTATTGTAGTGAGGTCACTTCATTCACATTAGGTGGAATGGCTCATCTTCAAACGATTGTCATTTTGAGAGAGAGAGAGAGAAAAAAAATTCAATTTATATACCTAAGCTGGAAAATAATATCTCGGGGATACAGTATATAGTTTGGGACATGACAAGCGACTGCCAGGATGGTGAAAGGCAAACTAGATGGACCTTGGTTTTCTTTTGCCTGGGAAGTTCTTATGTTTTTATACTGCAAAAGAGTTTTCCTTCGGTTGTGCTGTGCATCAAGTGGACTCTGGGATTTTACCCCCCAAAATTGGCTGCCACGTTTGCGACAATGCACAGTCACTACAGCAACCTCTGTGAAGCGCTTTGAGACGTCTCAACGACGTGATGAGGGACTGTAAAAAAAAAATTGTAAGGCTTAATATATTATCACCGATGTTGTCTGTAAGAGTTGTGAAAATTCACAAGTGCCCACTCACAGGTCTTCAGAATGAACTGAGTTGATTTTAGAGTCACTTTCAGGTTTTATGTTGGTTTTGCAGAGCGTGATGTTGTGTGAATAAAAGGCGATATTGCTATTGGGAATACGGAATATTACACAATACAATTCAACACAACACGGTGGAAGTATTGTTTGGAAGAATTACTGCCACTAAATCTTCAAATAATCTTTTTTTTTGTGTGTGGGGGGGGGGGGGGGGGGTTGGCAGGGAGGGAATAAGCTTAAAGGAGACATTTTGCAGCACTTGAAAATGCATAGGTCAGGACAGGATTGGAACACATATATATATATAGGAACAGGAGTAGGCCATTCAGCCCCTCAAGCCTGATCCGCCATTCTATAAGATTATGGCTGATCTGTACCTCAACTCCAATTACCCGCCTTTGCCCCATATCTCTTGATATCCTGATCTACCAAATATCTGTCCACCTCAGTCTTGAAAATTTGGATGGATCCAGAATCCTACACCACCAAACCAAACTATTTCGACTCATAATTATTTCTACGTTTTAGAGTCTTTGAGACACAGTCACAACGAGAGTAGGTTCACTTCGGTGTATGTTTACGTGCCCCCACAACCTGAAACAATAATGCCCAACACCAGAGAAGGGTTGACGGGGTGGTGGGGGGGGGTTCCATGGGTGGTAGGCAGGGGATGTTGGGGGGGTGGGGTGGGGGGGGGAGTTTACAGACTGGTAGCTTAGCTTTAAACAGACACACCAACTGACATCCTCGTAAATAGGCCCTCAGTGCAGGAAGCAGGCAATTCTGTAAAGTCAACACCAAACATCCCTTCAGGAACTGACTGTTCAACAAGAGAGAGGCCGGGCTCGGGCTGTTTACTTCAGGGCCTCGGATATCAAGTCCCAGCCTTTATGGAGCAAGAGAGTGTGAGGGAGAGAGGAGGGGAAGAGAGGTCGAAAGAGGAGTCGCCGCTTGCTGGAGGAAGACAGAGAGACTCAAATAGGGTGAGAGACAATGGAAGAGCCAGGCAATGAGATGGAGAGACAGAGAGAAGAGAGAGAGAGAGAGAGAGAAGAGAAAAGACAGCCGAGGCCCATTTCTTCTTCTGCTGTCACCCCTGTCACTGCTCCCTAACGTGCATGTTAAGGCGCCATATCAAATGCAAGGGTTAATATTATGGATAATATTATTATCATCAAGTGTGTAACATATCCACACAAACCTTCCCCTCTTAATTTAGGTGGTTGAAGGTCACACTATTGCTCTATACTTGTTGGTAATGTACTTCTTCGAAGCTGAATGGCTCTGGAGTGGCCTTGGGTGGGTTGGAACCCATGAACTTGCTGATCATCCAACCCAAGGATGTACCAACACTGGGAACTGATGTGCTAAACAGTGGACGAGAGTGAGTACCATGAGCTCAAAGCCCTTCTCCATAATGATTAACAGCTAACCAGGACCTTACTGATTTTGTGTCAATTGGGACTGCAAATGAACTCTCTGGATGAAGACTTGCTGTATTCAGTTCGGGGCTGTATCGAGGTTTCAAGATTACACGGTCTGACCTCATTCTGTCAATAAGTGTCACTTTGCTTCAGTTGGGGGAAGTCTTACGTCCGAGTCAGAAGGTTATGGATTCAAACCCCTGTCACAGACCAAACTTGAGGTGCCATCCTTCTGATGAGATGTTAATCCAAGGGCCTGTTTGCCTGTTCAGGAGGACGGTAATGATCCCAAAGTAGTATATTGAAGAAGACTGGTGATTCCACCATTCCAGAGAAACAACAATTGATAATAACCCTTGCATTTGATACAGCGCCTTGTCACGTCGCCGAGACGTCTCAAAGCGCTTCACAGGATACACTGTAAAGCGGAGTAGTTGTGTAGTCTGAGGGCAGAACACCGCAGCCAGTCGCGCACAGCAGTGTCCGACAATCAGCCATGAAGCGAGTGACCAATTTTATTTGGGGGATTCTCGGCCAGGACACCAGGAGAGAGGAACTCCCCTCTCTATTGGTATAACGTTCTACTTAATTAGGGAACTTCTTCGAAGTTGTTCACAGGGCATTGCACTGTTATATTCTCCTTAGTAACAACAGCCAAAAGAACTCACTAGGGTCTAAAAATGAAGACATTTTAAAGAAAGGAATTTCTTAATAAAGACTCCAACTTGCAGTAATTGGAAGTATGTCAATGCAGAGTGGTGTGAATATCGCTTCGAAGTAGAATAGTTACTTTGACGTTTCTGGAAATCTGCTTGACATACCTCAGTTATCAGTCGTCATCCGTGTTTGCAAACTGTAGAACTTATGACAAATGCCTATTTGAAACTGTCAAATTTTAGAACTCCTTTGTGTGGAAGGCTTTGAACCATTTCAATGCTTCAATCTCCTCCTCCCCCGAGAAAAATTCACGATACATAAAGTCTTTAAACTGCATCTCAAGTAAAAAGAATTACCAAGAAACAGCAGCGAGGTCTGTGAACCTTTCCGGACACCTTCATGAGAGTTCCTTCCTTGATAAACACCTATTGGAAAAACACGGGCAACACAAAACAAACCGAGAGGTTAATGCACTCGGGCCAGTGTGAAAGAAAAGACTATCAGATTAAATACAATCAGTCTGATAGGCTGAAAGCCACTTGGTAAATACCAGCTCCAACACCTCTTCAAAACAACACTAGAGTTAACGTACAGAACCTCTGCGCTGTAAGATTTTGTGTTTGATACAACGCCTCATCACACCTTCGAGACGTCTCAAAGCGCTTCACACAATCTACTGAAAAGTGAATTGACTGTATATTTGTGGGCGAAACGTGGCAGCCAATTGCGCACAGCAGCGTCCCCACAAACAGTCGTGCATTGATAGAGTGACAGAGATGAAGAGATGAAAAATTAGAGAGAGAGAGAGAGAGACGATAGCAAGAGACGATAGAGACAGAGACAGAGAAAAATAACAGTAGAGGTTAGCCTCGAAAGGGTTGGGAATATTAGACAGGATTTTATTCTTCCATCACCTCTTGATTGAAAGCGGGAGATTTTACAGAAGTGCAGAGACCAAAGTGAGCAACTTGACCAGGACTTCACCCCACTGAGAAACTCACAAATGCACTTGACAAAAGTCGCTGGATCAAAAGAATGGTCGAGCGCTCAGTGTGCGTCACTCACCCTTCCCGGCTGAACAATTTCGTGTTGGCCTGTGACGCTGTGCTGAATGTGCAGAAGCTTCTGAAAGTTCCCCTAATTGTGCAAATAAGGGGAGAAAAGAGAAAAAAAATTCAACAAAGCTTCCCCAACGAGCGAGGCAACAACAACAAATGACATTTGTCCAGCGCCTTTCGCGTCGGGAGGATGTCCCAGGGCCCTGGACAGTCAGGGTCTTGCTCCTGAGCTGGGGTTTGGGATCAGGAGGGGTGGAGGGCAGGGAGGGGAGGGGGGGTAGAGGGTGACCTAAGGCACGGTCGGAGTGGAGGGTCTTGAGACGGGTTTTGAAGGAAGCAAGGTGGGGAGGGCAGAGAATTTCCAGAGTTAAAAGAAGTCGGTAATCCGGGTAGCGAGTGATTTAAAATCCAATCTAGTGATGTGTTGAGATTCCCTTTCTGTTGAACATCCAAATAAATATCCAAGGTGAAGTGAGTCTCTCCCTCCAGCTCCCAATGGGAATTGGGCTCAGCACAGAACTGGTTCATCTGGCATTCAGTTCACAGCCTTCCTCAGAGACGGTGGTGGAAAATGTCACAGTGCTGCAGAAAGAGATATGCGGCTAAGGTTGTAGCCGAGGCGCATTAATGTGGCAGAATAGAGGGAGCCTTATCCTGCATCTAACTGCACTGTACTTCATCTTGGGAGTGCTTCTGTCTATTGAGGTGTCATGTTGGGCTTACGCCTGATATGTGCACTGTCTTAGTCGTTCCATTTCAATGCAAACTGCTGCGAATAGCTTAATGCTAGCACAAAAACAATCTCAGCCTGTGGCCGTGCAGGAGGGCAGTGATAATAAATAATAATATCCTTGCGCGTGATATAGGCGCCTCATCACATCGCTGAGACGTCTCAAAGCTCTTCACAGAATACACTGTAAAAGGGTAGTGACTGGACATTTTGTGGGCGAATGCGGACAATTGAAGGGCAAGACAAGAGGCCCCTGCAAGCCAACAATCTTGCCCTGACGGTGTTTACTGCTGGAAAGCTACCTTCTACATTCACAGCAAGACCCGAAAATGCATAACAGGATGCAGTGAGACTCACCCCTTGCTTCACGCTAACATTGACATGGTCAGCAACTCCACCAACAATAACCAAAGCAGCTGATGCAGGAAATGGAAACAAGAGGAGAAACAGCACAGTTAACAAACAGCTTCATTCCACCGAACAGCTTGAGCTAAGCTGCTGATCTGAGACAAAGTTCCAGTAAACCCACACATATCAATCTTGGCTTCCTGTAACAAGGCCTTATAGCCTTATAGACAGGGTTTCTGCCACTCTTTCAGGAGAGTCTTAGATTTTTATCCAACAAAAAGCAGCGCCCCACAAACAGTCGTGGATTGAGTGACCAAATTATTATTATTATTACTTTTAATTACCTTTTTTTTAACAGACAGGATACGGACAGGACCTATCTACTGTGGGTCTGAAACATGGAGATTATCGCTCAAGAGCATCAACTATTTTGATGCAATAACTGCATGTTTATCTAGAACTAATCTACTGCCAGATTCGCAGGAAATTAACTGTCGAGAGTATATTATAACGGCTTCTACACACAGACAAGTGTGTAAAAAAAAACTTTTGATTTTGAATATTTATCATCAATTCATTACGCAACAAAGCAGATGTGGAATGAAAGTAAATGAAACCACTCACACCCAAAAGGATATTTGAGTAAAAAAGTTAATGCTCCTTACTCATTCTGTAATGATGTCTCAAACGTATTATAATTATAATCTCCTTGCAGTAATAGTAATAGTCTGCGCGGTGAACAGGCTCGAGTTCACATAGTCAAATTCGAGCTCAAAAAAGTCTTCCACTGCAGATTTCTACAAAGGGAGTCATTTAAAGGGGAATGGGGAAAAGGTAGGTTATACACATGAGAGAGAAGGGAACAGAAAGGTATGGGAGAGGGTAAAGATTGGGAGGAGACTTGGGTAGAGTATAAACACAGCACAGACTAGTTGGGTTGAATGGCCTTTTCCATGCTGTACACTCTATATAAATCTATCTAACTAATAATAATCATCATCATTGCGTTCGGTATTGCGCCCCATCACATCTTCGAGACGTCTCAAAGCGCTTCACAGAATATACCGTAGAGTGAATTGACCGTGGACGAAACCTGGCAGCCAATTGCGCCCAGCGGTGTCCAACAAACAGTCGTGGATTGAGTGACCGAATAATTTTTATTTTTTTAAGGGATTAATACCCCGGAAAAGCGATCCGCCAATCGACTAACAACCAGGTTCCTACTTACTGCTGGGTAAATAGAGGCGGGTGTGTGGAGTAAGGAAACTTGCCTAAGGTTTCTCCCTGCCCGGTATATAAATCTATGTAAATCTACAAACGGGATTGATGGGAATTGGAATTGCCTTTTCAAAGAGCCAGATTTGGCTTTCTTCTGTGCTGTAAAGTTACATGGTTGATTTTCAAATCCGTGGACAAATTTAGTATTCGGTGACTGCCCCCAATTCCACGTTAGAATTACCTTGGGTGTCCTCGTATTCCGTCGAGTCTGGAGATAAATTATTCAAGTAATCTGCAAAAAAACATTAAACGTCGACTTTAAATGACAAAACGTGGCCTTCTCCCAGCAGAGGACACCACACATCACACATTCGTGTCTCACAGTGATGCTCATTATCAAACTAGCACCAGGTTGAACCTCAGACTAATGCTTTGTGCAACGCTGCATACATTGCTGGCAGCTATCTTATTGTGCTTACTTTCCATGTTAGCGCTGCGGGGGATTTAGCATGAACTCCAAGTCATCGCAGGTCTGATATAATAACAGTTTTGTTGCAGAAGAAAGTTCCCTCAACGCCGCCCTCAATCAAGCACTCCCAGCTCAAATACTATACAGTTTAGATGCCGTGTAAAGCTCTTCCTACTCTGTCTAACAACGTGGCTAAGCCCAGTCTCCAACTCACCGTTACTGGAGAAAGCCAATCCAATCCCCTTTAGTACTGAAAGATGGGCAGGGTTTTATTGTAGGATCATGCCCATTAGGGCAATACAAACCTGCCCATACTTCAGGAGCCAGCTGAGATCAGCCAAGTTATGGATCGCCAGCAATGGATCAAAACTGCAATCTTTCGGGGCTATATATTTCAATGTCAGACTGTGAGATGCCTTTAGCAAATTAGCCAATATAGTGTGAAAAGCGTATTCAGATGTTGAACTCAATAAGATGTCACTCGCTTGTGGTACAAAGCAAAAGGCAGAGAGAGCTCGAGGGTCTCCAGGGATAAAGCCAACTTGTCACTCACCTGTAAGGTAAAGGCAGTACTGAGGAACTCTCTGAACCACTTTCAACAGATAATGCTTCAGCTTCAAGTTCTTAGATTTGGGATTCAGCTACACTCGCGTCATGAAAGGAAAAAAGAGACATTCTCACATTAGAGCAGAGTGAACAATTTAAAATGACTGTAGACAGAGTCAAACAAATCCAACACCAATAAGCACCTTATCAAGTCGTTGAGACGTCTCAAAGCACTACACAGAACATACTGTAAAGTGGAGTGCCTGTGTATTTTGTGGGCAAAACAAAATAATTTTGCATTCTCGTATATTGCAAATATGGTGTTCTTAGGATTCTAGAAGGATAAAAGATCAAAGAATCTTCTTCAACCCTCATTTCCATTGTGATTTGTGAAACACTGCAGTGTGAAAGACATTGAATAAATCTAAATTGTATCACAAGAGAGATTTGGATGAAGAAGGTCCATTAACCCATTTATTGCTCGTCCCACTCTTGGGAGAGGAAGGCCATGTTATGGATAGGTCAGAGATCTTGTGATTATGAACCCCCTTTTGTTAGCTGAAACACCCCTATCTCTGCCTATTTACCTTGTGCTTGCGGTTCATTCCACTTGTACATGATGACTTCATCATGCAATGGTGGATAAGGGGCTAATCGAGCATCAAGAAAAAAATAGAGTAACAAATTGAAAACGAGCCACTTTTAGACAGATTATGAGCAACCACTAAATCGCTCGCCGATTGGGATAAGGAATAAAATCTAATTTAACATCATCTGGATTCAACTTTTGCCTGTCTGAAGCCACCAGCAAATGTGGCCAGCCTTATTATGGTCCCACTCATTTAATTTGATTTCTTAATTACCAAATTAATCTTCGGATCTGATTAAACCTTTCTGCCACTATTCAAGCAGCAGAGGCTTTGGGGTTTCATAAAGATTCCTCAATTTAAAAACACTGTGATGTTTCCCAGTGCTTAAGCCGGTATAAACAGCCTGTGCAGCTAATTGGAAAGCGGGAAATTAAATGGTACGTATTGTAGCCATCTTTACGATTCCTCATTACAACAATCCATTTCCACACGACGTCCCATTGAGAATCTGGCATTTCATCGCGCTTGGTAGAGTGGGCACAAGGCAAGAATTTGCTGGCGAAAGATGACCAAGGTCCATCTAGTTCACCATCCTGGCAGTCCCTTGACATGTCGTGTCCCCAAACTATGTACAGTATTGTATGCCCGAGATACTATTTTCTAGCAGAAATCCATCTAATTTGTTCTTGAAACGAACAACATTTTCTGCTTCCACCATCTGTCTCCCTAGGGGAGCCTGTTCCATAAGTTTACTCCTCGTAGTGTTTCCGCAGGTTTGTTCTGAATTTAGCCCCACTTCAATCGCAGGCCGTACAGTTTGGAACGGGGGCTGTTACGAGGAGAATACGGTTTGGTTTGTTGGTGTCTTTGTCAGCTCTCCCATACCCTAAGCTTTAAATCAGACAACGAAAGTAGGCATCAGTCCTCATCTGTGACAGAGCCCCTATCAACGTTCTTGTCAGACTTTCTACCGCACATCTGTGTACACTTAACACCCTGCCATTTAAAATCCTCGCCGACTAAGCCTTTGAGATTTATGCACCAAATCAAAGGCCTATTAAGTCACACAGCTACAGAACAAGGTGGTGAGGAGATCCATCGATGACAAATATTGAAGCGGCAGCATTATTGCCTCTGCCATTCGGATAAATCATTCCCGCAGGACACTGTGTGTTTCTGGTCCGGGAGGAATGTCATCAGTTGCAGATTTGAAACAGATGGTTTGGGTGGCACTACAAAATATTCTCAGTGGATGTGCTCTCCAATTGGTTTGGGTGTTCCGTGACCGAGATGAGAGGGAAAGTCAAGACTAAATCAAGTGCTTCAAAACTCGAAAGAGTCCCTACTGTAATCTGTTGCTATCCAGTGTTAGTTTGTGCATTACGCAGTCTGTATAATTTAGTGAAACGCTGGCAGTGTAGAAAGTGAACGTCAAAACACATCGGTCGGTGAAGACTGATGCAGTTTGTGACTGTGTCAAAATACTGTAATAGAGAAATGCTGTAAAGTGACTTTCCATTCTATAATCCAACGGTACGCAGATGTTAGCCTGGGTCTGATTTGAATTTGTCCGTTTAGAATACAGACAAAGCCATGCAAGTAATTTCACATGTTGCGATTGCACAGTTTAACTACTGACACCTTTGGGTACAAGGAATGTGACATTAGAAGTTAATTTAGTTGGCATTCAAAATGTGAGTATAAAAGTGAGCCGTAGATTATGTATACTGTAACTAGAAAAGTCGCTTAATCCACGACGGTTTGTGGGGACGCTGCTGTGCGCAATTGGCTGCTGCGTTTCGCCCACAAAATATACAGTCAATTCACTTTACAATATATTCTGTGAAGCGCTTTGAGACGTCTCGAAGACGTGGTCAGGGTTCATATCAACTGCAAGGATTATTATTATTAAACTTCCGGTCACTTCACTTGGGTTATGTATCCCAAAATAAAAAGATAAAAAGGTGAGGTGAAATGATGATTTTGCTGCTTAAGAGATTAAAAAGGACAAAGTGGGACAACTTCACATTTTACGTCATGTCTCAGTTCAAATATTCCTGCTGAATATTTTCCCCTGCTGGTCCTCAATTCTTAAATATGGTTTTAATTCCCAAGCTGGGTTTCCGTAGGTTTCTTTTAAGAACTAAGGAAAATCGACTTCAAAGATCTCAACACTTTGACAGATTGTGGAAGCTTTAAAATGCCACATTAAATAGATTAAGTGCTGTGTGGTGTTACTACTCTATGCGCGTATGCAAAGAAGGTTTTGAGGAAGGTACTCAAAGTGCCTGAAGAACTATCCCCTAGTACAGTCAATTCACTTGACTGTATATTCTGTGAAGCGCTTTGAGACGTCTCGAAGACGTGGTAAGGCGCTGTATCAAATGCAGGGATTATTATTACCCAAGCTGATGGAACTTCTCCCCCGACATTTTGCCAAATGATAGCAACTATTGCTTCCCGGATCTCTCGACAGCACATAAATCTATCTTCCAGTTGTCTCCGCTTCTCTCCCAAAGGCACGGCTATTGTTGGGGTACAGTTGTACTGTGGGGACTTTGCTAAAGACCTTCTTTCCAGTGTGAGCTCAGAGTAACCGCTGCCGCTCTACTTAATCTTGGGCGGCAGCACAGCCGAGACAGTGGTGGGAATTTCAACTGGAGCCAAAGGGATGTGGAGCGGGAGTTCCAGCATGCGTGGCCCGGAGGCAATCAATTCCGATGACAAAAAGAACGCAGGTTCCTCCTGCCTCTTTGAGACAGTAACATCTTTCTTCACTGTGCTGTCTTTACTCCCCTCTGGGACTATTTCAGACATTGTTTTTTCCTCTCAAACAGATTTATTATTCCTCCTTCCCCTGCAAAGGAGAACCTGAAACAAAATCCCCGCACAATAATCGTTTCTTCAGATTGCTTAGCAGTAGCTTCCCTACAGCGAGGCAATCACTAAAGGTAATTGTGTGCCCACAGCTCCTTTCTAACTGATGGCAACAGCAGTCGTTGCTTGCTATATATTCGCGAGGCTCCTGACTGCAATCACTTCCTATTCAGTGTACAATATGGAGTGCCGTAGTGCGGTGGTTAGAGTGCTCTCGCCTCGTAAGCGAGAGGACCCGAGTTCGATTCCCGGACGGGATGAAACCTCAGGCAGGTTTCCTTACTCCATACACACACACACACATACACACACACACAAACGCCTCTGTATACCCAGCAGTGAGTAGGAACCCAGTTGTCAGTCGATTAGCGGATTGCTTTTGCGGGCGTAATAATAATAAAAATAATTTGGTCACTCAACCCACGGCTGCTCGTGGGACACTTCGGTGCGCGATTGGGCAAATTCCGCACCGATTTACCTCAAACTCTCTCACCACCGCGGAGAACCGTGAAGACGCCTGGCAGCATTCATCCAGGAGACTCATGTTCCTCTCGAACTTAGTGATAAACCTCCGGTACAAGTTCAACCCCGGCTCCTTCGACAGTATGATGTCCGCAATCTTGCGGTCTTCCTCTTCCCTGATGATCAAAAGCAACAAGCGAGGGAATGAGTGAATTGAAGTGAATGTTGCGAATGTCCGAACAAATTTACAGAAACCCGGCTTCTCAATTAAGGCTGCAATTTAAAAATAAATAATAATAGTAATCCTTGCATTTGATATCGCGCCTGATCACGTCGCTGAGACGTCTCAAAGCGCTTCACAGGATACGCTGTACAGTGAATTGACTGTGTATCTTGTGTGGGCGAGTCAATTTTGTCTCCATTGATGCTCTAATGGGGATAAGGCGGAGTGGGTTACTCTGTGAATGACGTACCATTGTGCAACTCTTTCCTCCAGTTCCTTCAACATTTCCTGGTGGAATTGGCATAGCTCAGGCATCTCACACAGGATCTGAGTCAGATTCTCCTCGTCCACCACTGGAGTCCCATCTTCACCACTCGCCCTCGCCACCATCTCACGAAAGTCCTGGAGGAAGCAAACGATTAGTGTTTCTGATCGCGGCCGAAACGTACAGTAGGTAGGAGACATGTTCCTTTAAGGATAGATATTGGTTAGGTCAGGGTATCAAGGGACACATTTAGATAGCGGATGTAGACAGATCTGCTGTGTGATACGATCCCCATGTGTTGCGCTGGGCATTTTTTAAGGGTCTTACTTGGAGGGACAGGGCAGGTAGTTTGAAGGACATGGGCTGAGGATTGCCTATGTCCAGGCTGCGGGTTGTTCTGCTCGGATTGTTTCCCACTATCTCTCAGCCACCACCACCGACAACAACAACAACTTGCATTTATAATTGCGCCCCACGCGCAGGGCAGGGTCCCAGGTCAGCGCATTGTGGCGAAGTGCAATGCTAAACCGGGGGAAGTGGCGGCGGGGGGCGCAGGTGGCCATAGGCACGGTCGAAGAGGAAGGTCTTCGTGGGGAGGTGGGATCTGAAGATGGGGAAGGAAGGGGGCAAGGCGGAGGGATAGAGGGAGTGCGTTGAACCCCACCCTTCTCCCCAGCATCGACATCTATACTCTAGGAATTCAGCAAAAACCCTTTCACAGACGGGGAAACATCTCTTGACTTTGCGTAACATCTGCCGAGCAGATTTCTGCACATTGGGAGACATGAGTTAATATGAAGCAGAATTATAGCCATTCACAGTTGCACAGGCCTTTCATTTACCGTACTCCCGCATTGCAGCAGATCTCTGCCCCCAATCTATGCCCTTTGTACTCTCTCCACATGTGCGTGGTTAGCTGATACCTCTGGCCCGAGCTCCGCAACTTTGCCTCTCATTTGATTCTCCCCCCCCCGTCTTTACTCGTTTTTTTTTTCTTTTTGTTGGGTTTCCTTTCTTCAATTTTGCTTTCGTTCATTGTTTACGGAACGTTACTGGCTTGTAGATTAGCCGTCACCTTCGCCCACACCACCGCATTCACTTGGCTTGACTACAGAATTGCGCAGTTACTGCGCTTTACAGTAAATCTTTTCATTGAGACAGTCGGTGTAAAAGTAATCATATTCTTGTGGTGATTGCAAATCCATTCCATTTTGTAAAGCGCTTCAAGACACTTATTTTTATGTGAAAGGTATTGTAGGAATGCAAGATAGTATTACATTACAAACTCAATATTTGTCCCTTCTAAAAAAATAGAGAATAAGTATAACAACAACCCTCGTGTTTGGTACAGCGCCTTATCAAAGTTTGAGGTGTTAGGGTGGTGGGGGAAGCCATAGAGGACAACTTTACTGTTTGTTTTTTGTGCTCATCGCGATGAGGTCTGTCAATTTTTAATTGTGCACACTTTCCCATTTCAGACAATCACCAACCAGCAACGGGGTCAGACCAAAACTGTTTGATGCAGAGCAAAGCTGTTTCTACTTCCCGCGACAATAATTACATGCCTTGACTCGATTTTCCATAGCTGCCATACTGTTGGCCTCCCGGCCAATTTGGTGGCAAATTAAGGGCAGGTTTGTGCTGGGAAACCCACACTGTTGAGGACCGGTGGTCTGACGGTGTTTCATATTTATTGCACGTAAAACTTTTACAAAGAACAGACAAAGCAGAATTTCGCCCGATCAATCTGCACTGGGATTGATTCTCTATTTGGAGAAAACGAGATGAATCATCAAAGGCCACAGTGCAGGACAGCGGAGTGGAAGAGAAAATATAAATCAAGATTTATTGCTTAGGTGATGCCAAGTTCAGGTTTAAAAGCTTGTAGATTGTAGGCGGGGAGGACTGAGGGAGGTAAGGAAATCCATACTGTTGAGGTTCAGAGAAAGAATGAGCGGATGAGATGGGGCAATCGCTTTCGTTTCCACACGATGAGGACGCAGTGAGGGGGGAAAGGTCTGTAGCTCTGTGTTGCATACGTAGCTTGGGAGAAATCAGAGTGGAATGACAAGAGATACTACAATAATAATCCTTCCATTTGGTATAGCGTGTAGGGAGGATGTGCCAAAGGATATACTGTAAAGTGCAGTGACTGTTTTGTGGGCGAAATAGTACCAATCACACAGATTAATCCAATATGTACTTCATAGTATTCCTCGCCACAAAATGCAATAGAAAGCTTTCCGTGTCTGTGGTGATGGGAAACAGAAGTTTGAATTTGAATACAAATCTGCATTTGAATTTGAATACAACGGCAACTGTCCTGTCGTGCGGAGCTTAAGCAGATGCTCTGACCTTCGGGCAGACTGCCATTGTGAAAATACAACAACAACAACAACAACTTGCATATACATCGTGCCCTTCACACAGGAGAGTGCTGTAATCACTCTTTGGGAGCCGGTCGCGGGTTGATATCACCGAAGGCTAAATCAGCCATCGCGTTCACAAAGACCAAAGGAAAGCGTGAAATGGGAATGCAAATGTCCCGTCGGAACAGTAGGGGTTCTCTAGTTGGAAATGAGCCACATTATCAGAGCAGTGCGGTAAGAACATGCGCACAACTAATTCAGCATCATTGACCCAGTAAAGAACATAGAAACATAGGAGCAGGAGGAGGCCATTCAGCCTCTCGAGCCTGTTCCGCCATTCTTCAAGATCATGGCTGATCTGTACTTCAACTCCAATTACCCGCCCTTGCCCCGTATCCCTTGAAACCCTGACCTGACACATATCTGTGCACCTCAGTCTTGAAAGTTTGAATGGATCTCGGGTGATGATACCGTAATGAGCTGTGACTGTGCAGAAAGAATCCGTCACTTTATTGCGTTAACCTACACCTGAATGGGTTTGACATTGGCACTTACTGCAGGAAGAAAAATATTTCCTGACACAAGCCTGGGCATCTCTCACTTCGATGAGCCTACAAACAAATGTACAAGGACCTGACGTGTGTTCGCTGATCTCAGATAGACAGCAACAACTCAGGGGCGGGAGGAGACCTGCAGCTCAGTGGTTGGAGCACTCGCCTCACAAGCGAGAGGACCTGGGTTTGATTCCCGGGGCCGGGCGAAAGGTTGGGCAAGTTTCACTTTACAGCATATTCTGTGAAGCGCTTTGAGACGTTCCGAAGATGTGATAAGGCGCTGTATCAAATGCAAGAATTATTATTATCCTTATTATTATTATTAGGCAGAGATATTTGACTCCGAGTCAGGAAAGGAAAAGAAATTAGCTCAGGGTCCAACTCCTGATCCCTAGCCAGGGATTCCTGCTCTAAAGCCCACGCTTGTCCATGTTTGATGAGGACACCCTTTTGTGTTCAGCTACGAGGCTCCTACTCACTTCCCTCCACCGCCCCCCCCACCCACCCACCCACCCACCACACCACACCCACGGTTAATCAGCTTGACGACGCTCGTTATCTGGACTCACACTCGAAGAATGGCTTCCAAGAGGGCGAGAGGTACCGGGCCAACATGTGAAACAAACCCCACCCAGGCATGACCTCAGACAAGAGAGAGAGAAGTAAAGTGCGGGGGGTCGGGAGAGGGGCGTGGAGGGGAGGGAGGGGAAACGTGAGCGTGGAGCCAGTTGGAAAAATCGCAAGGCAAACATTAAACAATAGGAGTGGGTGAGGAGAGGGCGAGTCAGTAAGTGAAGTGAATGCAGGGTTAGACTCCCAGTGACAGGAAAAGGCAGAGTCTGGCCACTTTTTGACAGACTGCGGAAGATGAGTGTGATCAAGTCCTTCACTGGAAAGTATGACCTAATGCGCAGACCCAGGTCTGAAGCCCCAGGTAATGTAATAGAGAGCAGGATACGAAGCGCAGAGGCTAAATGGTTAATGGCCAGTCCATCCATTCCGCCCACTGAGCACTTCCTCCGACTTGTTCAAAACCAGGAAATGTCACACACTTAATTAAAAGCGCCGGGATTAATGTGACAGTCTTCACAGAGAACGCTGCCACTATCTTTTTAGGGGGCTGTGCGTCAGATGAGATCAGAATTTTTAAAAGCCTTATTTTTTTTTGGGTGGGGGGGAAAATGAACGCTGTGTTCATAATCCTACGAGAAACAAACAAACAAACAAATAAATAATAATTCGGTCACTCAATCCACGGCTGTTTGTGGGACGCCGCTGTGCCGCATTTCGCCCGTAAAATTCACACAATCCACAGTCAGTTCGCTTTACAGTGTATCCTGTAAAACGCTTTGAGACATCTCGAAGACGTGATGAGGCTCTGTATCAAATGCAAGGATGATTATTATTAATTGAGGCGAGGGATTGTTAGCTTTAGTGAATTGTTTTATCACTTGCTGATTTTCGCTTGCTCGGTTTCAGCATTCCAGGCCAATTTAAGAGCACGATTAGATAAATAAATAGAATAATGGTCCCAACAACCCTACCACCTGAACAACATCCCCATTTTATCCAGGAGAAAAGCGAGACCGTCAATTCATGAACGTTCATGGACAGGCGAGGTATTACAACGCGAAGCAGATTGAGGCCAAAACAAATCCATATCATTCCTCGAAGTGAGGGTTCATCCCAACTCCTCACAAATATCAGACGGGCAAGGATTAATTTCACAGTCCAGCATTAAGTTTAATTTAATATTTGTCAGGCCCACTACAAAATCAACAGGCAATTCGGTACGTAACGCTTTGTGTACCCACAGTAAATGCATCCATAAATAAAATAAATACATTTTAAGATTGATGGGGTGTTTATGTGGCAATGGATGACCGTATGGCTTGCATATGCAATGCATGTTCTTGCTGTGTCCCTGGGGGGCGAACAGTGAGCAAACTAAATATGCAACAGGGAAAATCTTCTCAGAATTTATCATTCTGCTGTGAGAAATACTGACACACTGGAATTTATATCCCAGCAGATTTATTGTCCAGAGAGGTGAAATTATGCTGCCTGGTAAATTGACTGACCAGCACAATCTCAGCCTCTTGATCCTTATTTTACATTGCATCAAGTTAAGAAAAATATGGTGCGACACTGAATCAATCCAATTGGTGGTGGGTGGTGGTGGGGGGGGGGGGGCGGAGGGATTAAGTTGTAGTAGAGGGTCTAAATTCCATGCTATTCTCTTATCTCTTATTCCGGGGCAGAGCGAAAAGTTGGGCAAGTTTGCTTACTCTACACGCACGCCTCTGTTTACCCAGCAGTAAGTAGGAACCCGGTTGTTGGTGGATTGGTGGATCGCTTTTCCGGGGGTAATAATAATCCCTTCAAAAAAAATAATAATAGTAAATTGGTCACTTGATCTACGACAGTGTGTGGGGACGCTGCTGTGCGTAATTGGCTGCCACGTTTTGCTCACAAAATATAGTCAATTCACTTGATATATTCGCTTAGTATATTCTGTGTAGCAGATACCCAAGACTTGAATAACAATTGTACTTTCTCCAATTGATAATTAACTTTCTCCTGAATTAAGTTCCAGTTTATGTCACTTCAAATCCAACCCAAAGTGACGTAACGAAAGTCAGCCGGTCTGTAAGGTTTCCGTGTGCAAAATACACACTCTACAGTATATTCTGTGAAGCCCTTTGAGACGTCTCGAAGACGTGATAAGGCGCTTTATCAAATGCAAGGATTATTATTGTTGTTGCATTCTATTGAGCGTAAAAACTCGCCCAAACTGAGCACGAAATTGGCAGTTTTGCTGATTATTGTGTCTCAAATAAATTGCGTCTGGGTGAGAGCAGTTATGGGGGTCAGTCTACAAACTACATCTCTTTGGTGCTATACTGCATTTGACTGGCGAGTGCTAAATACTGACACGAGGTGTCTGAAAAAGGAAAGTGTTTCATTCCCTAGCCTGGCCATCCTTTATCCTGAAGGGCACAAAATCATCAAATTGAGATAATGTGATCAAACAAACATCAAGGAGAAAAGCAAGACCGTCAATTCATGAACGTTCATGCGTAGTGAAACGAGAATAGAGACTACGCAAATGGAAGGGAGTGGGAGCGTTGCAGCACCATAATGGAAACAGTGACTTCAAATTGATGATATTTAATATATGTACACACATGCTTCCAACAGCCGCATAGAATGAATCATCAATTGCAAACATATTGCAGCTACGTAAGGCTGCACCATGTTTGAATGCTCAGTGACATTGATGAATCGGTGTAGCTATTTTAGATCCAACCGCAGGAGAAATGTGAAGTTATTAAAAACAAAGCCACAGTTATTTGTAAATCAGCCAACCTGTTTCAACACTTACATCTCGGGCACTTTGAACTTGCCGAAAAGCAAAAACAAACAAACAAAAAACTGCTTAAACCCGTGGCAATGTTCTTGTGAGTACGTTCGTCTCAAGAGGAACCCAGATGAACGCAGCAATGTGCTCCCCTCATTAGCCCAGAAATACTCCAGTTCTGTTAATCGACCAAGGAATAAAAATGTCAGCCTAACCTCCTGTCTTTTTGACTTTGGTCTTGAATCTCAATCTCACCAAGACACAGTCAATCCAAATCCATCTACATTAGGAGGCAGTATACAACACAAAATTATATTCACATGGCGCCTTTCACGTCGGGAGCACGTCCCAAGGCGTTGGACAGTCAGGGATCTGCAGTCTGAACAGTATGAACCCTGAGACTCTAGTTCTAATAGCCTTCGATCTTTCAAAATGTTTGCCACCATCAAATACATTCTGATTGGGAAGTGGGTTGGGCTTCACTATACAAAGGACACATATCTTTGAAGACCTTGAAACGAATGCTTAAAACTGCAAGAATCACCCTGTCCTGGTCTTAATATTAATCGCTGCATTTGATATAGCGCCTGATCACGTCTTTGAGACGTCTCGAAGCGCTTCGCTGGAATATACCATAAAGTGAAGTGACTCTATATTTTCCCGGTGAAAGGCAGCACAGCAGCGTCCCCCCAAAAAAAATTACTACTTTTTAAAAAAGAATTTTTTTTTTTGAAGAGATTATTACACCCGGAAAAGCGATTTGCCAATTGGCGAACAACCGGAATCCTACTTAGCGCTGAGTAACCAGAGGTGTGTGGAGTAAGGAAACTTGCCTAAAGTATCGTCCTGCCTGGAAATCGAACCCAGGTCCTCTCGCTTGCGAGGCGAGTGCTCTAACCACTGAGCTACAGGACTCCAACAAGGACTCCTCCGTCTCGATACTCACACATTGTTGGTGTCATTTACCCAAATTGCAAAAGATGCTTTTGATTGCTGTAACACTCAAAGTAGACTTTCCTGATCCTTTGATAATGGCTGTGGCTGGGAATGGAAATGATGGTGCTTGTGTCTCTGGCATGGGAACATTGTAGAGACTGCTGGGGTGATGGGAGCCTGAATCGTTGCATTTGATAATAGCAACTTATTACGTCTTTGAGACGTCTCAAGTAACGCTCCCCTGTTACACTTCTGGGAGAATATGGAAATGCACAGGGCCAATCTCACACAGAGAGCAGTAGTGGAATGTGGAATGATCTGAAGTCTATACTAATCTTCCAACTTAGGCAGCACGAAGGTGGCTATGAATCTTGGCATCAACACCCGAACATGTTGAAGATGAAAATGCTTGTGGATCGAAGTACGGCAAGGCCGAATGCGATGAATGGCCCTCTTCTCATCCTTATATTTTTGTGGGCGATGGAATAAAAATGACATCATGGAAACCAAAGGACAAAGGAAACTGCAGGACTAAACAGCAACTAATAAACAATAACTCATTCTTTGATCTCCTTCGTGGCTTTGCTCGTTAAATACTTCTTTTGCAAATCTTGAATAGGTTAAGATTGTTTGCACGACAGACCCCGAGACCCACCTTTCACAGCTGTTTTCAGACTGAGCTAGACCTTGGGGTGGTTACACTTTCCCAGCCTTAGAGACAGAACATCTGGTTTTGTATCAAAAACAGACTTCAGGACACTGATGAGGTAGTTGTTTTGAGAATAGACTTGTCCTTAATGAGGAGGGTCGTATGTAGTGTATAACACAGATTTTCTTATTTTATGAGCTGCTCCGTGTGTGTGTGTGTGTGTGTGTGTGTCTAGCGAGCAGATGTGAACTTCTACATTGACTGCCTCAACTAACATCCAACTGAATGTCACCTCTTCATCTGCACGATATTTAGAAGATCCCGGCTTCGGATTCTCGTTCTCAACCGCGCCTATGGTCACCCCCAACTCCCGCGCCCCACTCCCCCAGCTCGTCGCCGTGCTCCGCCACTTAAAGCGCTCTGGGATGCCGCCCTGTGTGAGGGACGCTCTATAAATGCAAGTTGTTCTTGTTGGGATTCATCCACGGGATCTGTCCGTAATCATTATTTGTGACCAAATAATGACCAAGTGACCAAATTTATTATCATTTTTTTTTGAGGGGTTTATTAGCTCCGTGAAAGCCATCCACCAATCGACTAACAACCGGGTTATTACTGACCGCTAGGTAAACAGAGGCATGTGTGTGGAGTAAGGAAACTTGCCCAACGTTTCACCCTGCCCGGGAATTGAACCCAGGTCCTCTTGCTTGCGAGGCAAGTGCTCTAACCACTGAGATACAGGACTCCACTTTGAGATACTTTACTACTAGATAGGTTAAAAATGCATGTTTGGGTCTCATGGGCAGGTGGAATACCCTGGTTCAGTGATAAGCTAATTACCGACCGGGATAGGGGAACCACTATGTGCTCCAGTCTTGAATAACTCCCCTTTGTTTGTGTCCTGGGAGTAGGACTGATTGGGAAGCTCTTCCAAAGAGCCGGAACAGGCACGATGGGCTGAATGGCCTCCTTCTGTGCTGTAATATTCTATGATTCTATGCTAGACACTTGGGTGGGTCTAGTGAAATGAGAAAATGTTCCCCCTTGCACTGACGGCCACAATGAGCAGAAAACTCAACTGATAAAATACAATACAGCATTAAATTTGTTTAGCGCCTTTCACGTCGGGAGGACGTCCCAAGGCGCTGGACAGTCAGGGATAGGAAAAGCACAGAAACTCAGCAGATTTGACCTGTCTGGGGTTACTCAGCCAGATGTGGTGTAACCAGTGGTGATGTGGTAGTGTCAGAATCACTCAGTGTCAACGGGAACTCCTAACCTCCAAAGTAAGACATCCCCAATGGCACTGTTCCCCCTTTAAGACTCAGTAAGAGGCAGATTGAAAACAAACGTCTTACTTACAACATGCAAGAGCTGTAGGATGTCGACGTACCTGAGAGGGGAGAGAAGAAAAGGAAAGGAGCTGTGAGTGGTTTAGACACGGAACAATCCATCAAAGTGTCAAGCGCTTTTCGGACCGTGAGGGATGTTATTCTGCTCCGGGTTTGCTGTACTCACCCTTTCTCTGAAGCTGCCATTTCCTTTGCGATGCGATACGCTCGGCGCTGAGCATCATTCTGCAAAGAAAGCAATGAAACGCCTTACGGTTCACTTCAGGGTACCTTCTGCGGAGCGCTCTGAGACGTCTCGAAGACGTGGTCAGGCGCCGTATCAAACGCGAGGATAATAATAATATTTTCCCCTAACCCGAATTGCCGCCTACTTAAATGCTGGTTTGAAAAGTCCGTGGCTTCTCACCCATCAGGTGTTTTTTTTTTATCTTTATTTTTCACCCGGTCACGTTATCCCATTGAAGTACAGTCAACCGAGAGACACATCACTTTAGTGGTAATTCTTCATACACAGTTAGGGTTATTTGAGTGGGGCGGGGGGGGGGGGGTGGGGGGGGAGAGCATCACATTCCGCCTTCGTTTTACACCCATCCAGTCACTTGCGCTTTTCAACAGGGGGTTAGACTACTGGGCAGCACTCAGGATAGTGCATCCTTGCTTCACCCCGTTCCCCCCCGCCTTCGGCCGCTTTGGCAAAGTTTGACCCCCCGCTAGCGCAGTGGTGGGGGTCACATGTCTCGTCACAGACCCGCCTTCAAACCTTGGCCTTCCCGCTGTGTGCGGGTGTCGTGGAATCTTACTTGACGGCTCATCAGTCTGAGCCTTCCACTGGGAACGGTTTAAACTGTGTTGCGTTTCGAAGGCGTGTAGCCCCACCTGAGAAAATGTGAGCCGTCTCAGAGAATATACTACGAAGTGAGTTAACCGGGTACTTTGTGGGCGAAACGCGGCAGCCAATTGCGCACAGCAGCGTCCCGCAAACAGTGTTGGATCGATTATCATTATTTTTTNAAGAGATTTAGTGTCCCCGGGAAAGCGACCCACCAATCGACTAACAGGTTGCAGCCGGTGATTTACTCTGGGTATCTGTTTGCATTGCTTGATGTATAAATCATCCAGATCCCGCCATTGGATTCCAACCTGCAGCTCACCCTTGGGGCTCCGCGATGCTCTTCCATAAACCACCTGAGCCCTTCGATAAGATTCAAGCTAAGAGCTCAGCCCCCGGGGCCGATCTGGCCAAATGCTTGTGCGATGGGTTTCTGTTCTACAGCGGGTGGCGGTCAGGATTTTTGGATTAATCTCACCGCATTCTTCAGAAAGAATCGATTCCATGTTTCCAGCCTTATAATTGTATCCCTCCAGCTACTTTGCAATGCACCACACAAGCTGATATTTACGCTCCGCCTCACCACCGGCTATTCGCACCACTCGATAAACACTCAACGCCCGACCACAACAACAACAACTAGCATTTATACAGCTCCCCCCCCACCCCACGCAGGTCTGAAAAACTCAAAACGGGAGGATTAATTCTGTCCGATGGCTCTGGTTTTTTTTTTAACCGGAGTGTAACTCGTGGGCTACAAGTGCACACTATGCATTAACAATGCGTTCGACAAGACGTTTGACCTCCTGTGTTGGTGTTGTGATTCCGCTGCTATCTTGTGGGTGGGACCACCTTGTGTCAGACGCCATTAATCTTGGTAGCGTGCGACTTCAAAACCTCCCCCTCCCTCCTCCCTCAAGCCAGAAGTCTGAAACAGCAGAAAGTACAATGAGCTGTATATCACTTACGTAAACTAAAAGGAGACTGGGGCCTACTCACAGGATCGCTGTACGTAAAATAGATTGCAACTTACACAAAAAAAAACTTTCGCAGGATTTCAGGGGAGACGGGGGGGGTGGGGGGGGGTTAATGTGGAAGGAAATGATGGGGTGAATGACCTTTGATTATTTCATTCTTCTTTTTATGTGTTCATTGTTTTCCCACTGCCGCCCTGGTTCAGATCAGTTAGCTCAGCGCAGACGGTGTCTCGAAGCGGGGACTCCCATCTGCCTGGTCTTATTTTCCTCTCACTCATTTTCAAATCCCTTCATGTCCTCGCACCTCCCTACCTCTCCGATCTACTCAGCCCCCCCACCACCCCGCTCTACCACCCGCTGCTTCCGGCCTCCTGTTTGTCCCTCGCCTCTGCCCTCCACCAACGGTGGCCGTGCCGTCAGCCACTACTGCCCGAAACTCTGGAACTCTCTCCCCTAATCCTCCTCCTTGCCCCCTTCCCTCCCCACTTCTAGGTCCCGCCTAAAGATCTTCCTTTTTGATCGTGCTTACAGTCACCTCCCCACCCTCCATCTCCCCCTGGCTCAGGATCAGGACTCCCCACTGTCAAGAGCTCCGGGAAGCTACCCAATGTGAAAGGCGCTATATAAATGCAAGTTGTTGTTGTTGTTCTGTGTGGTTCGGGTCTTGACTGCCTTTTGCGCTTTCTTTAGTGCTTTTACCACCTAGGCCACCAAGCCAGCAACAACCAAATCACATCTGTACAGCGCGTTTTCACGGCGGGAGGATGTCCCAAAGCACTGGACAGTCAAGGATATTTGTCATCTGAGCTGAGAATTGGGATCGATAATTTGAAAAACATTTTTTTCTAGAAAGAGAGTCATTGTTGGATACAATCTAATGGCAAGCGAGTCACTTGAAGGGTAAAAATGGGTGGCACCATCTCGAAATATATTGATCTCTCAGCCAGTCGCTGGTGCTCAGAAAACCGACCTCGCTTTACAATCCAGGAAGATTTATGAGAAAACGTCTGCTGATGAAGACCACTGTTTACTATCCGCCAAACAGAATTGTTTCCCAAATAATAATAATAATCCTTGCATTTGATATAGGGCCTTATCACGTCTTCGAGACGTCTCAAAGCCCACAAAACAGTCGTGGGTTGAGTGACCGATTTTTGGGGGAAGGGATTCAAAAATGTGACCTCATCTCAGGGAGTCATCCCATTTCAAACTCAGAGCAAATGCCCGTGAAGCAATTTTGAAAGTATTTTTCAAGAAGAAAAATACTTTACGGCTTCCTTTCTCCGGATTGATGCCCACGAGCAGCTGATGAAAGCACAGGCATTTCTGCGAAATCAATCTGAGGACAAGCTCCAAGGGTGGCAGGATAATTTATTGTTTCGTGAACTTGGGGAGCATTCTGCTGTGTTACTCGAATAGTGGAGCGTAATTATGGAATCAGAGGATATTTCAGCACAGAAGGAGGCCATTCGGCCCATCTTGTCAGTGCTGGCTCTTTGGAAGAGCTACCCAATCAGTCCCATTCCTCCGCTCTTTCCCCAAAACCTTGCAATTTTTTCCTTTTCAAATACTTATCTAATTCCCTTTCGAAAGTCATTATTGAATCTGTTTCCATCACTCTTTCAGGCAGTGCATTCCAGACTGGAACAACTCTCCGTGTAAAAGAATTTCTCCTCATCTCCCCTCTCGTTCTTTTGCCAATTATCTTAAATCTACGTGCCCTGGTTACTGACCCAATGGCCAGTGGAAACAGTTTCTCCGTCTCTACTCTATCAAGGCAAGGCAGTAAGACATTCAAGAATTCAGCCCACACTGCCGACAAGTTTTTAATCAATGTCACTTCACCTGTGACAGGTTTGTCCTTCAGACATATTCCAAGCGGGATATTCTGGGACATTACACTGCAGACTCCAAAGTCATTTCCCCATTGCATTACACCAATATTACAATGACAAATTGCATTTATACAGCGTCCTTCGCACAGGGTAGTGTTATCGAAGAGCTTAAACTGGGAGAACAGCAAGAAACATATACATCAGAAAACTCATTGCTGTTGGGCTGAAATTCTAGTAGGCATTACACGTAGCTCCTTCAACAATATCAGACACTAATGGGATTATAATCACACATCATGCATTAGAATCACACTTCACGGATGCACAGCTCCGGGTAGAATTTCAGCTCAGATATGTCGTAAGGGAATAATGCTCTCTGTGTGTAATGCAGAATGCCTCTCTCTATAATGCAAGGTAATATATCTGATAGAGCACCTGAGGTTGTGTATGAGTGTGCGTGTGTGTGGTGGGGGGGAGGGGGGAGAAGGCAGTCAAAAATGCAATTGAAAAGATAGGTCTTAAGGTAGGTTTTGAAGGCAGAGAGGGAGTAATGAGGAGTTTTAGAGAACGGGAGCAGAATGACTGAAAGCTCACTCAATGCTGGTGGAACGGATCAAATAGGGCACATGAAGCAGGTCGGGGTTTGTTGAGTAAAGGCAATGGTGGGACAGCAGGGTCATGGGGGATATTAAAGAACATCACACTGCTTATAGCTGGGTTTTAGTGCAACATTTTGTATTTGAGGCACTCACACTCCATCTTCTGTATAATACCCAGCACACACACTCACACACACACCATCACTGCATCCTCTGTATAATACACAGCACACACACACTTCATCACTCCATTCTCTGTATAGCACACACACACACACATCATTCGCTGCCTAATAACCAGCACACACACACACACACTCACACACACTCGCTATCACTCGAAAATGGCAGATGAGAGATCTTTCGGGTGCCACATAACTTTATTCTTAACCTTCAATAAAAGAATGTAAATCTCAAATTCCTGCATCACATCACAAGAACACTTCCCGGAAAGTTGACAGATACAACAGTGCTGCTTAATCCATTCGCAAAGTGTCTCCTCAGAGGCTCTATCGCTAACGGCTCACACAACAACAACAACAACAACAAGATTCCATTTATAAAGCGCCTTTCACGTCAGGAGGACGTCCCAAGGCGCTGCACAGTTGGGTCATGACCCGAGCAGGGGGGAAATGGATGGGAAATGGTCAGGGTGAGGGGAGGGATGGGAGGGAGCGAGAAGGGGGAAGAGAGTCGAGAGGGGAGCTGAAGGCTCCTTTGCTGGTGGAATAAGGATTGTGTTCAGCCTCTGGCGTAGTATCCTCTGCTTAGCAGCTCTCATCAACTCAAAAGTATCTCGAACATCGACTGAACTACTCCCTGCAGCGCACTGCCAGACACTTGCTGTCGTCTGCAATAAGCTATTTAGTCGGTTTCATAAAAAAGTTGGAACTGAATAATATTTCTTCTTACTCTCGTCTCTCTCTATCCACTCGCAAACAAAATGGGAACAGCACAATTTTGCTGCCGTCGTTCACACTGTGGCACGGGAGCCAGTAGGTGTATACAGTACAGTGTCGGGAATCTGAACATATACAGTCGAGGGTTACACTCCAATACATTGATGGGAGAGCGCTGAACTGTCAGAGGTGCCGTGCTGTGACCCAGGATGGGTGTCAACGCTTGATTGCTATTCAGGGATCTCTGCTGGGAGCCACTTTGCAGCCTCGACTCACCCACACGGGGAATGGCAATATGGCTCAGATACTGTCCACCTGTCTCTTGCTTTGGAATTGTTCTTTATCTGTCGATTGGCCTGTCTCTCTAGTTTCTATTGCCTTCTTCTCTCTCTCTCTCTCTCTCTCTTTCTTTCTCCGAGTCTGTTTTTCATCCCCATTCTCAGTACTTTTCAAATAATTCAGTTAGGTTTGTGCGACATGATCTACTGCTTCTGTAATCCACGCTGATAGCTGCTTGCAGCCTCTAAGCTCTTTAGGTGAACACTGATGGGATTCTGTACAATGCGAGCGAGTAAATTTCCCCACTACACATGGTGGACGAGCTGATCCAGAATGCTCAGGCTCACGTCTCATTCCCTTCTCCCTCAACTAGACAGTAGTTTTGAGGTAAGAAAGTGTAATTAGATGGAAACATTTGCACGCAAAGAGGTATCGACCGATGGAATAAAGTTGTCAGCATTTTGTCACAAAATATACAGTCAATTAATTTTATAGAACATTCTTCAAAGCGCTTTGAGACGTCTCAAAGATGTGATACAACAAGTGCAAGGATTGTTATTATTATCAATTCAAAAGGCAGGTTCATGTGTTTCTGGAAAGAGAAGGGTAGGGTTTGAAGGAGGGTGTAGTGATCAAGCAGGTCATTGTGGGGGTGGGGGGAAAAGGAGGAGGACTATCAAAAGGTAATGGCCTGTTCCTGTCGTAAGCATTTTCTATTCTATTACTATTTACCAGGGCCTCACCTATTTCCTCCCTAACTCTGAACTGTGGGAGCATTAAGTCACAGCGAAGTTTTTTTTGCTTGAGGTAGGTTGGGTGTGGGGATAATAATCCTACTTATTCCTCCAGTTGGTAAACCAAGAACAGGGCTCCAACCTACACAGTAAAGTTAGGTGTCGACAAACGACAGGCTCAGCAGGGAAAGACGTGGTGGCTACAGAGACCATCCATACCAAAGGAAACAAAATAACCTGAATAAATATAGAGCCGTTGAATGTTTTATACGGTCTTGCCTTCCACGGCCATAACGCAACTGGAGCAGAATTTCCCAATGTCACCAAGTGACCTCTATCCATCAGTTCGCAATAAAACAAAGCGATTTACCCATTTTGCTCAGCGGGAAATGTGTCTGCTTCACATGCCCGCCCCCCGCCCCACCACCCGCCCCTACCACCCCTGCCCAAACCGCCCCACCATCGGGGGGCACACTTTCAAGCCTACCTGCACCCAGCGCTCTGGATCACCATCCCAGAATCCCTCCAACTCGCTCCCTCCTTCACCCCCTTTCGCCCAAGTTTCTCAATTAAAAAAAACAATTGGGAGTTTAGCCTGGCCCTGGGTTTAAGCCGCCACCAAGGTCTTGCTTGGATTTCTAACAAAAGCGCACAGAAAGTGGGACAGCAAAAGCGATAGTTGTACCTGTTTATCTCGACCGAACTCTCCCTTGCACGTTTCCAAGCCATCTTCCTCTCCTGAGCTGTTTGCAGGGTCCTCGTCTGATGTGATGTCTTCTGCATGCAAACTGTTGACTGCACCGGCTCTGAAGGGCTCTGTGTAGGCACTGAAACAGAAGAGGTTGGATATTTTTGACCACACAAACACTTTCCTTGGGCAAGTACTCCATTTGTCAAGCACAAGACCACTGCCGGTCATGACGGTCTCTGGGATTGCTATCAATGTCAAGGAGGTCCAACCAAGAGTGATAGGACTCATTTCTTTCTCTGTCTGTGGGTGTGTCTCTGTATCGCTTTCTCTCTCTCTCTCTCTCTCTCTGGCCCACTGTCTAAGTGTGCCTCTGGATCTCTTTCTCTCTCCGTCTAAGTGTGTCCCTGTAGCTCTCTGTCTGAGTGTGTCTCTGCATCTCTTTATCTCTCTCTGTACCTCTCTGTCTGTGTGTGTGTCTCTGTATTTCTCTCACTTTCTGTCTCTGTGTCTCAGTATCTCTCTCTCTGTCTGTCCATCTCCTGTTACCCATTAACAGGGTCTGCTGCTAACCTCTGTTTTTCCCAGTGAGTCAGATCAAGCCTGTGCTCCCCTCACACAGTCCAACTGTTTTCCTCCCCTGGGCAGTTGGACCACCTTGCCCCTACCCGAACACTGCACATCAGTCCCTCTTTCTGCCCCAGCAATTCTGCAGCCACCTGTCTTTAGGCCCGGGCTGTGATGGTCGAAACGTGTTCTCTGCTGAGCTCTGACACCTTCACCTTAAAACACGACCAAACTGAACAAAATAAAAGTAAAACCTCGGGAGAGTTATCAATAGGTAACATAACGTACACCCTTTGCCGATATGTAATTCCCTGAGCCCTGGTAAATCCCCACCACCCACCCCTCGCTCTTGGAAAGTCCCAGAAGGATGAGAGGTCTAGACAAGATAAAAATCTGGCCCCACAGAATTGTTCGTGGGAGCTACTTTTTTTTTTCGACATCTGTTGTTTTACCACATGTTTTGCAGCTTTGTTACTCACTCGATCTTTTGTCGAGGGCCACAATCTTAAGGATTGTCTACTCGGAGGAACACCCTTTGCCAAGGAGTGATGGGAGGAGGTGTGCAGCTGCCCACACGGCGACCTTCTGAATTCAATCATCTCACAGTGGGCCCCTGCCAAACGCAGGCCAGCCACTTCCCTCTGGGAAGGGAAAACAACAACTGAACTAATACAGTTATATTAAACCAACAGGGTTTATAGCTTCAATGGAGCACTTTCACTTGCTCCACGGAACCCCTTCGACAAACCTGAAAGTAAATAGCAATTCTCTTCGTTTTTATTGCTTCATAATCGTAATCCTTGCATTTGATAGGGGCCTTTTATCGCGTCTTCGAGACGTCTCGAAGCGCTTCACAGGAGGTACTGTAAAGCGAATTGATTGTATATTTTGTGGGGGCGAAACGCGGCAGCCGATTGCGCACAGCAGCGTCCCCCACAAACTGGTGGATTGAGTGACCAAATTGATAACACCCGGTGCTCGATGCCCATTAGTAATATCAGCGCTGTTAGAATCGGTCTCAATTTCATCAGGTGTCGGAAGGATCGATTCATTAAAATCGGTATAAACGTTACACATTTATTTCTTTGACTCCCTCCTCTTGCCTTAGTGCTTCCTGCCCCACTCGCTGTCTTGGTGGGTCCGTCTGTGTGTTAGAATGACCCAAATGAGTGAGGCCATATTGCAAAGACATTAACTGCTTCTAATTGCCTTTAATCATTCAGCACTCCATGCAATAAGGTGCAGGATGGACTGTGCCTATGGGGATAGAACATTATTAAATTGACTTTGTCCACATGATTTCAAGATGGCAATGATAATAATTCCGTTTTTTTTGTAAGTGGCTTACTATGTTATCTGCGGCAGTCTAGCAACTGAGCCAAATTGTCCATCAATCTATTTTAATGTCAATTGTCTGTGCTCATAACGGTTAATTGAAACTATTTGTCAGCAGAGCGTGTGGCAACGGCAATAATTTGAGGCACTTTAGACCCTGAACTCATTAGGTGGAATGGACACTGCGGAGTAGAAAATGATCTCGCTGTGGTAGGATAACTGCAAGGTAGTGGTGGACCCTTACAATTAAACAGAACTTTTCAATGATGCATTTCATTAGTTTTTCTTCCTGAACCTTGTGAAGCGGAGCGAATGGTGGGTCTGTGTTTTACTATCTCAGCGTCTTTCACAATAAAACCCTGGAGCCACTGGGTACAAGATTATAGCTCGAAATCTCAATTTCCCCATTTTTTTACCCCACGGAAAATGAATAATAATCCTAATAATCTTCGCATTTGACAGAGCGCCTTAACACGTCTTCGAGACGTCTCAAAGCCTTTCACAGAATATAGCTGTAAAGTTCATTGACTGAGTATTTTGTGGGCGAAACGAGGCAGACGATTGCACACAGCAGTGTCCCACAAACAGTCGTGGATTGTGGATTGGATTGACAACATGATTAAAGAATGGATCTGGAAATAAATAACATGAGATGTAATACAATATAAAATCTGGTTACGAAGGCAAATATGGCAGCTGACCTGACCAGCACTAATTCTAATTTGCATTTGCACAATCCTGTTATTTTCACATATCGCTTGCCTTCAACTTCATACCCGATCCACAGATATGTCCCGTGGTTTTATTGTGCACCAATATTAATGCTTTACCTCTGTGTTTTTCTTCATTTTGTGTAAATTGTCCCTGTGGGCTTATAAATGTATAATTTAATTTGACATTTGTAATGTAATGCTATTTCTTAGTCAAAATTGCATTACAGTTATTTATCGTCGCACGGGGACAAATTGACCAAATGTATTGAACGAAAAATACTTAACCCACATTAAGGGATTTGGTATGTGAACTCACAAAGCACAGAAGGCCACCCCACTCCGAGAGAGAGAGAGTGGGAGAGAGAGAGAGAGACACACACACACACTATCCTCCTTTTTCTACAGTCAGAAGGCTACAACTGTCTAAATTGTTGATCTGATGTTAAACCAGTGCAAAGGTTAGCTTCCTGGCTTCATTATGCAAGTGAGTGAATAATTTATATGACTGAGCTCAATCCCTCTCGTTAAAAAAAAGAAAGCATTAAACTCGCTCTGATAAAGACTGAAATCCTGAATTGAAGAGTACCTGTAATTATCAGCATCTGTGTAAGTAGCAGCTGAATCCATGGGCAGCAATGAGATGTCAACTGAATATAAAGTCCTTAGAATCCTAGAACTATTCTTTGATTAAAATACAGTACTGTCGTTTGTGTTCACACATGCAAAGTATGTTTATGTATTTGGGCAACGGTTTTTACACGATCTTTACCTTTGCTTACATCCCACATCCATATTTTGGGATCGATAAGTTTCAACAGGATTAGGTCTGGGGAGAGGCACGTGGTTTAGGAAGGTACAGTAATGAAGACTTTGGTCCAAGGCTAGGAAGCCACTCCAGTGCTGTGTTTGGGGTGTGCTGCGTTGTTGGAGGTGCCGTACTTCAGATGAGACATTAAACCCAGATTTGCCAATTAGGGTGAGATGGATGGTGAAGCTCCCATGGCACCATTTGAAAAGAGAAGGGAGTTTTTGTTGCGGTCTCATGGCCAACAATCCCCCAAATAAAACTGGTTATTCACGTAATGGCAGTTTGCAGGATATTACTGGCTACAGACTGGCTGCTCTGTTCACTTACAAGATACGCCGTCTTTACAGTAAATCCTGTAAAGCTCTCTTGAGACGCTATCCTGGGGAGAGCGCGCAATATAAGTCCGAGTTGTTGTTGCAAAGCGGTCTGGGGGCGTCCTCCTGACCTGAAAGGTGTTATACAATGTGTAAGGATTATTAGATGATGAAAGTTAGAGGGCACCCATGCAACTGTACCTAGTGTGAGTCACCGCCCTTCGGAGAGCAGAGCAAATGAGGAAAAAAAACATCTTAAAATACTCCCACTGATCTCATGTCACCAAAATATTTTTGGCAAACAATGAATAAGGAAGCAGAAATAGAAAATTGCGCAATAAGTCGGCCGTTTGACATGTCATTATGGGAGACATGTCACTCACTGATTGTGTTAAGATCTTACCTACATATCGTTGGTGTTCCGTATTGTCAAGTGTGCATATGTTTTATCTATCAGGTCACGTCTGGCACACGCATTAGTTGGAGAATCTTCTTTCATTGAACGTCTTTCAGTGGTTTCAATCGAGGGAAGTGGTGGAATAGTGAAAAATATCCCCTTAAAACTCTTACCGGTTGAAACATTACGGAGTCCATAAAGAGATACAAGTTTAGATGCCCTCAAAACCCATAAATTACACAGGATCCAGCGGTAGAAACATAAAAGCGTTAGAATGACAGAGCTGAACTGTGATTCATTGGGTGACAGCAGATCCTAACGTTCAAGCTCTCTCTCCCACTACTGCTGGAGCTGATGTACTCTAATAACAAACATGTGCCTGTCCTTGGAATCTCAAAAAGAACAAGCACACTCCCTTCTTCAAGGTCTCCCAGTAATTTTCCAAATCTCCGTCAGGTTCAATCCTTTGCTGTGGCCCTGAGCTCAGGCCCTTGTCCTGCATTTCCTGTAAACATTGAGGTGGAAGTGTAAAGCCTGAGGACTTCCTCCCCAGAGATGACCTGGCAATGAACTAGCAGTCGCTGACGTTAGGCTGAACCACACCCAGGCCTCACTGCCAAAACCCACAACCAGCCACAGTGCGATTGATCTATTAACCCTTTCTAAATGAATAATATGGGGTGGGGGGGGGGGGGGGTGGGCAAGAAATCTGGGATAGTCAGATGATTGTCCTCCACTATCTGTCATATAGACTGGGAAAGTCTCAGGTCCCACTCCGTGCTGTACTGAGTTAGTTGACTTGACTTGAGTGGTGATGTAGGGACTCATTTTGGGTAAATGGCAACAGTCCTGGAAGGATGATAATTGCCAAAGTTGGCCTTGAGGGGCAGCATCTATTCAGACCACATGCTAAGCAATGCCATACTCCATATACTCCAGCATAACAAGAACAGTGGCCTTGATCCCAACCTTAGGAATACACAACCTATTCTGCCTGTACAATCA